ATTCCCAATACACATTATTTATAATATCATTATGGTACAATTTCTGTATGAGAGCCGTAGCATGGGCTCTTATTAACGTAGGTTCTTAGTAACGTTTCACAATAAAAGATTCAGGAATAGGGCCAAGTCTTTATTAAGGCTGCTCTTTCCTTTAACATTGTGTCTAAATTCTGTATAATATTTATTCATGCTTCATGTACTACTTGGAATATCTCTATTATTGTGAGTAGGTTCAAAACAAATTCGAAGGTATTAAACTATTACCTACTAAATACAAATAATTATGTATAAGTAACATCATAAATTAGGTTCTATATACTCAAATTAAAATAACAAATAACTATTTCTAAAAGTACAATCGAGTTATAAAAAAAATCTGAAGAAATGATGCAAGATTTAGGTAAAATAAATAAATAACAAACGTTGAGATGTAAACCTCTCGCTATACCAGCTAATACAAAACGACGTTTCGTTTTTAATAACATAAAAATACCACACCGCCAACACTGTTTAAAAGCTTAGATTTAAACAAAAAAGGGAAGATACGGCACTCGCGGTTCAAAAGTGATTCGCTTAAATTGTGGTGCATGACCACAATCTGGTTTAGTCACAACTGGACATTCAAACACTCTGCATGTGCACTCAATATAAAAATATTGCGTATATTCTTTTTAAAATTAATACGATCATCAAACAAACATCTGTTATAAAAAATTTAAGCAATGCCTTCGATGTAAAGAAGAAAAATAGTTCAAAGTCAAATAACAAATGCCTCGGCAACACTTTTCATTTGTAAAACTGTAAAACCATGTATTTCCCAAAAATCACGGTTTGTCGTGAATGTTATTTACGTAATCGTCAGCGGACCCGGACACAGACTCGCCGTTTCGCTCGCGCTGCGTTTTAGCGTACAGTTCTGTCTCGCTCGCTCGATTGAATGTTTATTTACAGGCGTGTGCATGTGTAAGAGTTGCTTATGTAGTTAATTCGGAGCATTTTTTATTTGATGCTAGTATAAGCGTACCTTATCTTCCCTTTTTGTTTTAATATAAGTTTAAAAGATTTTCTTGGCAGCTGCATTTTTATGTTAGTGACAATGTAACAATAAAGATACAAACATCTACATCATGATAACTACTTTATTCGAGGATGTTGTATAAGTAACTTTCTTAAAAATAAATGCAACAATACATTAGCTGAAAATAAAGAAAAATATAGGTAATTTATGAACAATTATTTAATTGAAACTGAATTGATTCAACAACACTAATAATATCATAAATTAGCTAGCTACAGTCGAATAAGATGGTAGTTTGGAACTTTTAATCAGCGTACAGCTGATTGTAATACTCGTAGTTAGCCAAATTTTCTCCCATTTTTGAGATTAAGCATTAAGTTTAAATGATGTACACAACCAAATCATTCGAATGTACCTACTTTTACTAAAACACAGCCACACTGTTTTGGTAAAGTTTTTAGCGAGCAATTTCAATTTACTGATATATATGTACTAAATGATTTCCTTAATACATTTAGTTATAAACAGGAATAAAAATAACCATTTAAGTTAAGCACGTACTATTTAAGTTTGCCTATTGTATCATTGTAAGTTTGAAATTTAGCAGAAGGAATTAATTGCGCAAAATGTGGTTCAAAATGACATATTAAAATAGATATTAGCTATTCTATTTTATAGTTAGAGATACGTCAAACATGCTTCTAATTTAGCTAGCTCCCCATATGTTATTCTGCCGCGCTCGAGTAAATCCAAAAATCCCCGCTTGGGCTCCCCTACTATCGGCGTCGACACGTGGAGGCGGCTGCCAAGGGAAGTTGGAGCGGGGACTACTTGTGCCATTTTTAAATGCAATGTTGGCATATAACCTGTCTATATATTATACGTCACTGGATGTTAGCGAATTTCGTGCAGTTGTCCTTTTTTCTGAGTTACGTTTATAAACGGTACCCTGTCAGCGGTCTAGCATCTTTTGAACCGTAATAGGAACACGGTGGATATTAGAAACATGTTTATTTATATTACCGCTAAAATTGCTTTGCTTTTTTGATTTTTGGAACTAAATAATTTTCATGAGTTGTCCATTGCAGAATACATTTCCAGTTACGTGTTATCAACAATATCAAAAGTCATCAAGTTACATGAGAATAGTGTTGATATTGGAGATACTTCAGATAAAATAGAGACGGTAGCAATTGCCGAGTCACAATATAGGGTTGGCGTAAAATAGGGACAAGCATCTTACTACCGGTTCTACCATGTACTTCAAAGTACGAAACTTTGTGCATGTACAACGTACAAAAAGCTTTATTGAAACAGTACAGAGCCTATAATGTAAATTTTGCTATTGGAAACCATTTCCATATATTGAAAGTGACTAAATATTTTATTAGATATTGCATAATGTATTCTCAATCTCCTAAGATTCTCCCTATAAAATATAGGCGATTTTTTATTTATTTTTATCGACAACCATCGCTTTCGGATTGCATAATGTAATTTATTTTCCAATTCCAATACGTGGCAATGCCAAATTAGAGGAAACGTAGGCTGAAAAATCCGTTAGACATTAAATTTTAAATCTATGGTGGCTATCAATTGAATGATCCTACAAATTTTAATTCCCTGATAGTTTCATAATACTCGCATATTACTTGGATCACGTATCTTGAATTTGTGTAAGTCATAAATTGTCGATATGTAATTTGTTAGATATAAGATAACTATTTTATTTGTATCTAAAAAGGAATTCAAATATAAGTGTGGCTAGAAAGATAAATTTTATGCTACAGTAGTACTATATGTTTACAGATTCGATGGCAAGATACTATATGTATCTAATTAGTCGTATGAGGTTTGATAATAAATTATATAAACCCTTTTTTTACTATAACTTACACTAGATTTTGTCAGATCTATTTTAAGGGTAGATAAATAGCATACTTCATTGATTTTTCGCACTAATAATTTCCAATGTCTTAACTAAACTTAGGTAAATAAATAATAATTGCTAAAATATTTGTGATGTGATAACAAGATAATAAACTTGAAATTGATGAGTTCAGATGCAGTCAATGGAATAAAGGGTCATCCATAAAGTACGTCACACTTTAAGGGTTAGGGAAGGGATCGACGAAGTGTGATATTGTGTGACAAGGGGTGGGAGAAGTGCTAAGTTTTGTGACGTCACATTTCAAAATCGAATACTTTTTGATCTATTATCAAAACACTTTAAAATATTTAGAACTCTATATCAAAATCGGACTACTATGTAAAAAAATATTCGTGGACAAGTGGTCATCCAAAAAAAATTTACGCGTCAACTTGAGAAACTGCTCCATTTTTTATCGTCGGTTAAAAATAGCAAAATCTGTGACGTCACTCTAGGGGGAGGGGGAGGGTCAGAAGTGTGACCAAATGTGAACTGTGTGACTTAGGTACTTTATAGATAACCCCTAACAGTAAAGGAACGTTCACACTAGCGCTTTTTCTACGCTTCCTTAATACCGAACTTTTTCGTTTTTATAACGTTATCGACCTGTATTTACAACTTTATGTCCAACGCTCAACGTCCTAAATGGCGTGATAAACAATAAAAAAATCTGTACAATTAAAACACGAGAGAAATCATAAGGCCAATCATAAGGCCTGTCTTCGAATAGACTTTATGTGACTTTTCCAAAGTGTTCACAATGGACTCTTTTTTAACTTGTATTAAAAATATCGCCGTTGAAAAGCATCCGTACAAACGATCCCTAAGGCTTAAAACCGTTACAGAGGCCATAACGACAACGCAATGTTCAGAATTCCTTATAATTTTGACTAGATTTTAATTACAATCCTGCATTTTCGTAATTCATCGAATTTTTCACCAATGTCACAATAAATTATAACTACCTATAAATATATTACAACAAAATTGCTCACTTTAAATGCCCAGCACAAATTAAATGTACACCTAATATTTCCACATATCTGTATTTGTTGAAAAATACATAACATTTTCTAAACCTACCGATTTATTCTATGAAATTATTGTACCAATTAAATAGGTGCTTAGTCGACATGCGGAAATATATGATTACATATATTTAAAGTGTAGTGATAAGATAATAAATAGCAATAATAGTAAATTTATCAATCAGTTATAGTATTTAATATGATAATCATTATGGATGAAAATAAGCAGATTTGTTATTTAATCAAAGTATAAATAATAATAAAGTACACAATATGCAACTGTGATGATGAATTGATGATAATATACTTTCAAAAAATGTTAATTAAAATAAATAAATTAAAACTTTGGTATGATATCTATATAACATATAACTGAGAATGCAAAAAATATTATAACTCTTTTAAGTATTAAAATGCAGATCAATAAAAGGTACAATAATTTTTATGACGATACATTCCTTTAGATACGCAGTGGTGTCGATTCTGGCATGATTCTCTAAACATAAAACTAAATTTAACATCAGCCTCACCATTTCATTCTGTATAAATAATGACACTGTTACATTTTTATAAGCATTTAACCGATAGATGTTATGTTAAGCATTTAACCGATGAAAAATTTACTTCAATTTCGGAAATATTCAACGGGGACCAGGCAGCAGACGGGACTCAAACCCGCACCCTTCGCTATCCGGGCGGATGAACTGACCATTATGCTACCATGGCCCTAATTGTCACTGTGGTTTTTTTTTCTACAGTGTTTCTTAGGCTGCAAGGCAGCGCCATCTCTTCGCATTGTAGGTAACCCACAATGTCAAATGAATACTTTATAAGTTAAAAAAAAAAACATTGTTGTCAAATTTAAGTTTAGGTTTAGTGAATCGTGTCAGAATCATTGCCTCTTCTTTTTTGGTACGCTCCTTTATTTACACGAGTAAAAAATCATTGCATAGCATTATTTCTCAAACCTGAATGTATTTTTATCAAAATAATCTAAAATATAAATAGAGACTAATAATGGCATTTAATTGGAATTATTTTCGAGTACGTGGTTACCATTTTGTTTGTGGCGGTCTTTTTCTAGTACTTTCGTGATGGCAACTTCTTTTTGTTCCTTCTTCGAGTTTCGAATTTCGAACTCAAGCCGGTGGGCTATTATCCGTTGTACGATATCCTCTGTGGTCATTGTGTTGCCAGAGTTCAATATCTGAAAAAGAAAATATAGATAAAATTTATTACAAAATAAAAATACCAAAATATAGAATCAATCAAGATTTGAATTCGAATGTAATAATAACATGCAGAAACACGGCCGACGCAGCCAAAAGGGGAGTGGGAATACACAGCTTTCCCCTCTGTCGACTTGGGCATACAAACGATACATATGTGCATGATTTGGCGATTTATTGGTGTAGATTCTGGCAGGATTCTCTAAACTTTATTTGACATCAGTCTGTCCATTTCAGTCTGTATAGAGAATGACAGAGATGCACTCTTGTCAAATTTAAATTTAGCTTTAGAGATTCTTGCCAGAATCGACACCATCGTATGACTGTTTGTGTGAGTGTCGTAGTTAAGGTTTTATTTTACATGCGTTACCTACGTTAAATTACGGGTCGTCCATAAATAAGTCACACGTTTAGGGGGAGTTGTGTCAAGGGGTGGGCGGGGTCCTAAGTTTCGTGACGTCACATTTCAAAATCAACTATAAATAAAATAAATAATATAGTTTTAGTTTATAATGATAATATTAAGACTAAATTTAAAAATACGGCCGTGTTTACGATATGCAGTATAATGTGAGGAGATTTGCTATTTAGCCTTCTATAAAAAGATCATAGAGCTATCGGAGTGCTCATAAACTTAAGTATGTACTCTTGGTCAGGCTTTTTTATCGTGCAATATGTACCAATAAACATAATAAATAAGTTTACTTTGTTTATCTTTCAATCAGCAATCGATCAAGGACTAGCAATTCAAACGCGATAACGATCTTATATTCATGTTTGGTCATTTAAAATTATAGCCTATTCACGTACGATTCTACGCATTGTCACAGTTGCTCATATTCATTTGGATTCCAATTGAAGATATAACTAGCGCTCCGGTTTTGCATGGATCAACAGCCGCCTATTAATATCCCCATTGCTGGGGCACAGGCCTGCTGGATTGGAATACGGAGATTGGGTTATGTCCCACCACTCAGGCCAAGTGCGGGTTGGGTGGGTGCTAAAGAATGCCGATGCAGCCGAGACCAACGGCTTAACGAAACGAAAGAAACGCTTAGATTTGGTGATTGATTCTGTTTACAAAGTGTATACGGGGAAAAAATTAAAAGGTTCCTCGTTGTACGTACATACCTACATCGGTTTCGAATACGTCGTACGTACGTCGAAGTTATAAAAAAAAATCTGACCCAAAATTTAAACTGCAATAAGTGGGTACCTATTTGTTTTTTGGTTTAAAATTTCAAATCGTAAAAAGTGTATGACTTATTAACATTCTAGGTTTTATTCAACGGCGCGGCGGGAGCTGTGGTCGACACCGGCCATCCGCGTCCGCGGGTTTTTTTCCGTATTTTTAGTAGTATTTATTTATAAGTTGTTTTTCAATTACTATGAATACGTGTTTAAAAAGAATAATAACTCAAAAGGAAATAAGGACTTAAAAAACGCACAAATAAAAACTATAAAATAATTGGAAAAAAACAGACATACTCTACACACGTAACCAAACAATCCCACGAAGTTTCTTTAAAACATTCAATTTCACCTTATATATATTTTAAGTTTACGGATAGGTATGACTGGATATACCTAACCAACTATGACGTCTTGTCACATAATGAGATATGAGAATAGGAATAGATGAAGCATAGATATCGATGAGCTGTTTCCGTTCCAAAGCCGCTTGATAATAAAGTCACGAGTCATTCATTGCATGCCATAGTTAGTAATAGAAAAGGTATTTTAGTAAGTTTCAAATACCTAGTTTTAAAGTTCACATAATTTTGCCTACCCACATAATCTTAAAAAAAATGTAATGGTTTGTTTTACACTAGTCCCCCACCAAAAGGAATACCATGGTAGGTATACGTGTTGTCTAGTTATGTAAGCCAGACTCAAATATAAGACTAATTGAGAAATCATACAAACAACTAATAAATACAATACAAGTAATAAGTACAAATAATACGGCACAATGATTATTGATTGATAAGTAAATTGGCTAAGAAATCTTAATGGGTCATAATCAGTGTATTATCTTTTAGGACAAAAATGTGATGGCATTTATTTAAACTAGATAAAAAGATAATGGCTGATATGTGTGTGTAAAATTATCAAGCTAAATTAAGTAAACATAAAGTAAATAATAGTAAGTTTTAATTAGAATGATTTCAGTATATTATGTATAGTACACGCAACCTTCCTCTTGAATCAATCTATTTATTGCTGAAAATGGAATTCAGGTGTAGTTTAAAAGATAGTACTTCTTAGTAGTAAATTAGAAGTACTAAAAATACACATTGAAAGTTATGAAAAAATGATTTTTGTAACTAAAGCACTTTAAAAATACTATTAATAAAAGTATAAAGAATGTTATTAGATACTAGCTAACGCAGCGAATTTTGTACCGCCATAAAAATAGGGGTTGGTGGTAGAAGGGTAAAAATTTAAGGTTGTATGTGCTTTTTAATGGCGAATTATAAAAAAAAAGTGCAAAAGGGGGAGGGGGTTCACATACATATGTATATCCCTACTGAATATAAACACATAATTTCACAAGAATCGGTCAAGCCGTTTTGGAGGAGTTTGTTTACAAACACACACGAGAATTTTGTATATTAGAATGTAAAGATACTATGGTCCCAGTACGGTACCATGAAGCAACAACTTTGTTTGGACACCATGCAGGGGTCCGTGCCGTCTGCGTCCGTCGCTATAGAGGTCAGTCCGTGACACACCACCTTCACCCTGAAGTGTCCATCTGTTGTTATTATATATATATATATATATATATATATATCGTGGCCATATCGTAGATTTGATCACTTCATGAAATGCTCGAAAATTTCATGAAATGGTCGTATTTCATGAAACGTTTCACTATCTATTGGCCACATCATGATGTGGTTTGGGCAGATTAATGATGAGAAATCCTTTCACGATATGGCCAACTAAACGCGTGGCTACTTCATGAAATGGCAAAAATTATTTTATCATATTGTAAAGTAGTTACAATAATTACCGGTAGAGGCGCTGCAAGCGCTTTGTTTATATATTTATATGGCGGCCGCTGCCGACAATGTTGTTTCTCGCAGTGAAAAAGTGCATAATTCGTTATTTAATGAGGAAGAAAGTTAACAAAAAGGTTTTCGAAGAAACAAATTAAGGAGAGTAAAGTAACTACGCAAAAGAAATCTATGGACTATTACTGGCTGTCAAAATATGACATTTTGGAAACTGCGGTTGATGTACAAAGTGCGGATGAGAATCAATGCCGTACAAAGATATACTGTAAAACTGTACTTCCAGGGCCCAAGAGGTCATACTTGATTTGTTTTTGTAGAAAAGGTCTCTTTAATGGAGTTTTTTTCTGGCGCTTCGCCGGCCGCTGCCGCGGCGTGCTTTGCTCGCTCGGCTCGCGCGTCATGGTCACAACACTATCCTAACCTAGTGTGAAATGTGAAGTATTACCGTTTGGACCCTCGAAGAACAGTTAAGTCTACTATTGTAATATGTACCAAAGTACCTTATTATTTCTAAATATTTGATAGTTTTCTAAATATAAATGTGTAAGTTCTTGACATGTTTGATGTTTAATTTAGGAAAAAAAATCTTAAATTTGTTTATTTTGTTACAAAAAATTTATTAAATTTGTTTGTGTCATTCGGACTTAAATAACAATAAACAAGTTCTTACATATTCTGGATTTTTAATAAATATTTTATGGACACCCTAATTATACGATCCGACCAAATGTGGATGACCAAATGCAGCCGGGACCAACGGCTCAACGTGCCTTCCGCGTTTGTCGCTATAGAAGTCAGTATGTGGTACAACACCTACACCCTGAAGTGCCCATCAGTTGCTATGGAGTCGTAATACAGTACCTTGAAGCAGCCCCTCTGCTTGGGAACCTTGTATGGGTCCGTGCTGTCAGCGTCCGTCGCTATAGAAGTCAGTCCGTGACACACAACTTTCACCCTGAAGTGGTCCATTAGTTCCGCTGTTACGCCGTAAGGCGCGCCTATAACCACTTCGTGGACGTACTGAGGGAAAAACAAAACAGTTTTTCACATTTGAAACGTAGAAGCTAGAGTCATGATTGGTGCGGTAAATAGGAAATATAGGATAGGAAAAAGTACAGGAAATAGGAATCATTTTTTTTAAGTTTATATTTAAGATTCAAACAAAGCTTATCATAAATTAACATGATTACTTTTCATTAAGCTAATAAAGATGTTTTAATAGTCAGTAACACACAAGTTTCCAGAATGTGTAAAATTCTCGCAATCAATGAATCAATAAATTAATCATATTTCAAGTAATAAATAAAGCTCAGTCAGAGAAATTCGATAGTTTCGGATAACTAGACCTGTCTGTTCTTCGATCGGAAGAAATTGTATCTATGGAAAGTCGCTAAAAATAATTTACTAAGAAAATTATGACGAAGAAATGAGTCGTATAATATCAAAGGCGGCAAAGTAGGGCGAACCAAATATTTGGCAAATAAAAAAAAACTGTTAAGTCTCGTCTTTAAGGGAGGATTTTTATTATTGACATTCATCATAACTACAAATCCTAGTGAAATGTCAATATTTTATCCTCCCTTAAAGACGAGACTAAACAGTTTTTTTGATTTGCCAAATATTTAGTTCGCCCTACTTTGCCGCCTTTGATACTATACGACTCAAATTGGAAATTCCATAAAAAAGATAACTTATAGTTTCATCAATTTTTTTTCCGAAAATTTAATCGGCGGACTCGCATTGATTCAGACAACGATACCACCAAAATCAAATATTGGCTAGAATAAATTACCTTGCATGCGAGAACGGACAAGACTCGCTCGTGTAGATTCATGATAGGATAATTCGATCCTTTGTATCTGTTGACCTCTAGGTCTGTGTGGAGACCCACGATTAGGAAGTCGCCTTGTGCATGAGCCTGCTCTAAGAAGTCCAAGTGGCCGACGTGAAATAGATCGAAGGCACCAGCTACATACACAACCTATAACAACAAATAAATAAATAATATAAAAGAACCTCCCTTGACTGCCTTGACAAAAACGCACTAAAATGGTAAAAACTTGGACTTTATTTTAATTTCAATTTTAAATATATAAAGTTTTGTATCTAAAGATAAAAATTTAGTTTTGAGTTTATGCCTATATTTTTTTATATACATACATACTTAAATGTAGACTCGAAAATTATAAACTTAAATTTTGGACTTTATTGACGAATACGTGGTATGACGTCAGCAATCGTATCTTGTCTGAGAGCAGGATCCATAGATATGAGTCAGATTAGTTAAACAGTGGCGCCAAAAACAAACGTCAGTGAGTTTGTAACAAAAAAAACTTTAAAACCTCATATAGTTTTCAATTGTAGGGGGTCGGTTTTAGTTTGTAACCTCCACTTACTGAGAAGCCTACATCCGAATATAAAATTGAAATGGAGTACCTGCCTTCAGGTCGACGGCATGGAGGGTGGGCCTATTTTTCTGCCGCATTATTAGCAATATTCATAATATACTTAACATTATGTGGGGAGGACTTATTTGCTGGGTTCTGTATTAAAGAAATTTCGTTGTTGCACCGCGCTGGTATATGCGCGACTGTTAAATCATTCGTTGCTTCGATCTCACACTTAATTTTAGTGATAATAGCAAGCATTCAATTTCGTGTAAAAATTGTCTATTATTTATTATTTATTTAAGCATATATGGGCTAGAATTTTATTTATGCTTATTTCAGTAAATACTAAGAGTTTGCTTAGTTCGAGGAAATTTGTGTTCACGTCTAGTCTGCGAATTAAAATTGCTCAAAGGCAGGCTGAAAGCATTAATTATTATATGCGTCATGCAGAGCTGTAAATAAGAAAATCGCGGAGCCTTCCTACATGCTGACAAACACTTTACTAGCGTAGGTAATAATAATTCAGTGACGAGAAAACGTGTATTCTCTAGAATGACCTCGTAGTAAAAATATAATTTATTCGAAACGTAAAACAAAGGTCAATGTCAACGAGAAGTATGTCGCTACAGTAAGACACGTAGTATGTACTGTAAATTATGGTTCTTCGCATCCCAACAAGCTTACTCGACCAATACTTGATATAAACTTAACTACTAGGAAAGCTTTTGTGTCCTTAGAATAGACGAGTATATTCGAGAAATGTTATCTTGCAGAACTTCGTGATTCACAGTGGTGTTTAGACTCGTGATAAATCGGCAAATTTTTCCAAGGCGGCGTCAGGTGAATTCAGGTGATCGAATTTGGCGAACTTTAATATAAAATTCCGGGGCTCTAATATGCGAGGCCTTAATATTTTCTATTAAATCAGTTTATAGTTGTATTAGAACAATTTTTCTCCTAAATGCGTTTAATTAACTAACATTAATTGAACATACTATCATAAACAAGATACTTGTTGTAAAAAGGACTCTCTCCGTACTATAAGTATTTTTTCTTATTTTTTTCACGGAGCTGCGCGGCATCTTTACTTTTCAACTCTCCGTGCTTGACTGGTGTTCAAGCACTTCTTGATTGGGACACATTTTAAGCGTACGTGGTTTATCTTAAGGCTTCGCCTCTTCACAATAGCCTATGATGGGCGATAAAAAAGTGGCCATCATCGCCGCGATGATGGGTTGCTCTCTACACAATCGTGACTGTTCATTTACGTCGCCGTTGTCTGTTGAAGATGGACGTCGAAGTGACAGCGGCTGTTGTTATCTATTTGCTCAGTATAATTATAAAATCACTATCGTAATGTGCATCAAACAAGTGCGAGTTTAACACGCTTGGAAAGGGTTCCGTTCGCAGAAATTAAACCAAAACCCTTTGTTTGTGGTGAAAAAAAAAAATGCGTGAGTGTCGTATAAAATTTAGTTGGTATGAAGTTAAAAATATTTATATACCACCACTAATCCGCACTGGGCCTGCGTGTGTCCAGTCCTGACCCAAACTCTGTATTCCATCCGACCAATCCGCAACGAGCCTAGTTCAAAATGGGTCCTCTGTGGATTGGTCGATGTCCAATGCGGATTGGGCCTAGTCCCAGTGCCCTCTCTTATGTCATTGTTACCCAAGGGAACTTTCATACAACTTTTTACACACACGTCCTCGAGCGTCGATTTCTTCCGTGAGACTAAAGTATCGGCGATTGTGTGTACGCGCGCACGATCATCGGCACACATGATGACTGTGATTGATGTACCGACAATATACTCACGGTTACAGGCCGTGATGGCCACTCATGAACGATTATGCCCTCAACACAAACGTGCTTGTCTATAATCGCTCATCATGGGCCATTGTGAAAAGGGACCATTGGGGCTTTTAATATCGTTGACGATAACACGGAATACAGCCTAATGACATCAAAAAGGCATCGTAAGATCAGAGGTTATTGACCCTACCTTATCAGTGGGTTTCGGTGAGAGTCCACTGCTGAACTGTATGATCTTCTGTGTTGTGGGTAGAAACTGGGAACAGCCTGTATAAGGCGAACGCGCCGTTGAATCCGTGCCCAGATTTGACGAATGCTCCAGTGCCACAGAGTATTCTTTGTCACCTCTCCTGGAAACCACATTGCCTTAAGTGCAATTAACTAATCTAGAAAAAACAGGTTAGAAATGATGGAATAATCTGATCTGGATCATGATTTTGGTTGCAGCCAAATTCTGCATTTTAATTCTAAACTAAATAGATAAACTGTGTCTGGAATTAATGTGAAAAATATTTGATAACAATCAGATGGAAAAAAAATGTTTGAAATACTTAATGCCACTACTATTTACAAATACAATTAACAAAATTGACTCTACGTTTTGCTCATGAATTATAACACATACATATTGATTTTAATTCAATACTAACTTTGCTTCAATGATGCTATAATTGAATGCATATGAGGTAATCATGTTACAAGCATAGCAGGCTGAACATACAACATAAACCATAATGTATATTAGATATTATTACTTTTATTTATTACTGATATTAATTGAATTCAGATATTACTTGAAATGTTCTCTGGTGAGTAACAGCATTCTACCGACTAAGTCTGTAGTTGAAACACCAGCTGTTCTGAGCACCTCCCTGAAAATTATTACATCTGTATCAACATTTGTTACTCATGTTTTGAACATACTATTTTGAAACTCAAAATGAATGGATTTTAGTTTAGAATTGGTTCTTCTACCAATTCCAATAAATATACTTTTTAAGCAACATTTGTTACTTATGTTTTGGATATACTATTTTGAAAGTCAAACTGAATGGGTTTTCTTTAGAATTGACTCTTCTACCAATTGCAATAAATATACTTTCAATGTAATATTTGATAAACAGGTTAATTAATTATTTATTTATTTATTTAACAACTGTGTAAACAAGAATTCTGTTAAATACCTGTATTTTCCTGCTTTCTTAACCATGTGATATGTATCAATCCCATCAGCAGTTACTGTGATATCATCTAAAAATAATGTCAAAAAAAAACTTAATTTTGGCTAGTATATTAGGCATAATTATATTTATAAGTATCATTACATTAGATGCTTCTTACTCAGATGTTTATTCAGACATTAGACCCAATTCCAGCATGATTCTCTAAACCTAAAAATAAATTTGATAATATCTCTTATCTATTAGACAAGTCCGTCCGTCTGTCTGTGGTGCTGTTTCAGCGGCCAAACCGTAAGAGATAGATAAAGAGAATATTTAAGTTATAAGTTAATATATAGTCTGATAAGACTACAAACTGGATTTGAGTAACGTAGCACTTCCGGTTTTCGAGAAATCAGGTTTTGGTGAACATTTGGTTCACTGGTTTGCTATATATAGAATGAAAAGGAGAGACTGATATCAGATTAAGTTTGAGGTGTTTGAAAATCATGCAAGAATTAGGTCCATTATATACTTACTACTGAATTACAAACAACAATGGTTAGATAAAACTTTATAACATTAATAATTACCTCCATGAACACAAAAATCACACTGGTACTTGTCTAAAGTCTCTAGTGTAGTGACATAAGGTGCTCCTTCCACAACTTGGTCAACCCATTTAATAGCTTTGACCATTTTGTAGCGTTCCTCTTGTGTAAAGACAGGAGGGCCCTTGTGCTTGGCTATTTCTTCATCTGTATGAACTCCTACTATCAGTACATCGCCTAAGGCTTTTGCTTGTCTGAGTGAATTTGCATGGCCAAAGTGAACCATGTCATAGCTGCAAAGGATTTTTTTATGTTATACAAGAAATTATATGTAGGATCCTGGTCTTGTTCTGAATATTTTGATAGTATTTTTTAATAGATATCATCCCTTTGTTATAGTTATTTCCTAACTAATCTATAAAAATCAATGACTTATTTATAATTCTGAGTTTGAGACCTTATTTAGAATTTCAATATGTAAAATTAACGAACCGGATTGTAGTGGAATTTTACCCATAAAATATGTTTTGAGAGAAAGTTTTCATGTTTTTTGTTTTAAATAGTTTTAAATAATGAGGATGCATTGCAACCAATGTTATTATCTCTGCTTTATGGGTTTTTCATTATTGATGTTCGACAAGACATTCCTGTTTGATTATTGAGGAAAATGAAATGAACAACGGACGGTAAAAGTGGTGTATTATTTCTTTACAAAAATCTCTAATTATTACGTGAGTATTTAAATTACGTTCTTTAGTCAGATGTTTAACATTTTCATTTATTAAATGTCACGAGGGGAGGTAGGTAATGAAAAAAATACAAATAAGGTCAATATTTTACCGTCTGAATAGTAGGCGTGGACTGAAAAAACCTTCGATTAGCACCGGATGTTTTACGTTACCACACAATTTTTATTAGACGTTCTATCAATATACTCAGAAATGTTCAACTATCGGCATATTATTTACTTGGCACTGCATTAATGTGCATCTAAAAAAAAGGATTTCTATGTTTAAATCTTCAAAAATCGTTTACTCACCATCCATCACACCACACACGAATTTGTTTTTTCTGTTCCTTTTTACCGTCCATGTCTCAGATTTTACTGCACAAACTTAGCACAAAGTCAATGCTATACTCTTCCAGGCACACTTTATTTTCAATGTACGGTAATTAAATTAGAAATAATTATTGTAATCGAATTTTATATTAACCAACGTCACGACAACTCCTCAGCAATTTCCAAAAATGACTGACTGACCTGACATACAGATTGACAGATACATGAGCATGACAATGACGTTGACGTGACATTTAGTTCGACGCATATATGGTGCGTTCAGACTACATTTTAATATTGCGCTTTTTAAATTATAGCTCGTAAAGCAAACCCATACATTAGTGTCAACCTTGGCATGACTCTCTAAACTTAAAACTAAATTTAACATCAGTCTCTCTCCTTTTCATTCTGTTTATAGTGGGAGCCCGGGATGCAGTGGCATATGTCTCAATCCAGGTCCTAAACTGTATACATGACAAGTTTAATCCAGATCCGCCTTTTGTGCGATTGAGTCTTCCCGGCATTCCACTTGGTTATTTTTGTTCGCTGTTTGTGAGCTTTACTGCGGTCTATCCTTTCTTGCTTTTTAAGGAATAAAAAGGGCAGACCGGTGTCTGGTTTGCAGGTGGCGGACATAAGCAGATGATAATATTAGTAGGATATTAGACTTTACTTACTTTATAGTTTGTTTCTATAAACGCAATTCTAAATAGGGTACCTATTATGTATACTCTCGTATGAACTTATTTTTATTGATTTATTTTTATCTATGTATTTTTTTAACAGACACACACACACATACACACATGCACACGCATCCCCTTAAAACATTTGGTCAAACCTCACATAACTTGTTAGCTAATTTTATTGCTGATCACTGGTGTACATAAAAAATTTTAGGGAAACCTGTAATTGGCCTTAAGTAAAAACAACAATATTGTTTGTAAGTAGATACATTGAATGCAACGCTGTTGGGTTTCTTAATAAAATAAAATAAAATAGTATAACAAAGATACACTGTTGTCAAATTTAAGTTTAGGTGTCGAGAATCATGCCGGAATAGACAACATTATAGTATTGTTTATATGCTATAATGGTGTGGCGTAGTCTGAAGGGCATATACGCATAGCCATGCGGCGGAAAATCGCAAAGTTTTTTGCATGAAGATTTCTTGCATTTTTCTGCGGCAGTGCGTGCGTTTCTTGAGGCTAATTCACCTGAGAATCCGCAATAAGGCTTCACTTGGGTGTACAGCAAGCGCAGTTTTGGCGTTTCTTTTGTAAATGTGACGGCTATGGCCGGCGAGCGAATATCAGAATGGTAATGCCTGAGACGCATTTCGACTCTTATCCGACATCTACATTCGACGTGCCAACTTAAGGTCACCGCTCATTAGGCACCCAACTCGCACCGAACCATCACTGAACATTAGCCTATGATTACCCCCTTAAATACTACTCAAATGTCAAAGTAACTGTGATTTTCAGAGAGACAAGTGCAAAATTGTCTTATTTGCACTCGAGTAAATCCCAAAATCCCCGCTTTGGCTTCCCTACTATTAGGTACCTACTGTTCGAATGACGATAAAATATTTTGACAGGACTACTCTAATTTTAGCGCCCATCCAGGGAACCTTAATCTAAGAAAAGATCCCAGTAAAAATCACAGTATACACTGCCTATCGATGGTGAACTTGGTTTTGCCCACAAACTTCCACCGCCTTTTCTATAATAAAAACTATCTTGTCCTTTCCCGGGACTCAAACGATTTGTAAACAAAATTTCATTCATATCGGTTCAGCGGTTTGGTGTGACGAGGTACAAACAAACTTACTTTTGGCAACAGCTTATCCTTGTCATTTTCCATACAGAATGAAAAAGAAAGTCTGCTGTTAAATTTAGTTTTAAGTTTAGAGAATCATGACAGAATTGACACCATTTTCACATCTATAATAATTAGTATAGATTGATAGTATAACGAAGTCTGAACGCACCTTGAGTAAGGTTCAAGTTGCTTTAGTTCTTGATCTGAGGTTCCAGTGCTCCACTGGATAGGGGTATGGCCCAGTACGACCAACATACGACGTGGTTGGCCAAACATGCTGATTTGCCAGCCTTTTACCCATAAAATTTTAACTTCCACGTATAAGACTTCAATTCTTCGCATTATGTATGTAGAAGCTAAGGGCCTAGGTTTTTATTATCATCTAAACTTGATAGACCAACTAAGATCTGCTTAAAACCCACTGATTAATTTGACGTATTTTAGCATTATTTTATAATCAAAAACTAAAAATGCTTGCAAATCCGTCGGGTAATTCAAGCCCAATAACAATAACTAGTAGCCAATTAGACCTTTGGATCGTAGTAAACTATTTCAGCAATACTAACGATCTGTTTATCTAAACGTGGCAATGGCAAGACTTTAATTGGTTCAATCAAGTCACGCCACCACGCGCCACCCTCTAGTGACGAATGCGGAGCCACTTCATTAAGTATTGGTCGCATACGAGTCGTCTAGACAGCACTATGGGGGTTATAATGTTATCATTATCAGGCAAATTATTATTTTACTGGGTTACTGACACTTCATACTACGTGTAGCTAGTATGTAAGTGTCTATACTATCACTGATAATTAAGTGCTCTCGGCGTAGATGTCATATAGGTACATTGCATTAGGAAAATATATCTAGCGCATTTGAATTTGAAGGATATTTCTGTGGGGTTCGCGCTAACTCCAGCACCCTTCTATTAAATTTCCATCACGTCACAGGTGCATGTATGTAATGATACCTAATAAAAGAGCTGATAACAAAAACCAACCGTGATCTTAGGTTCAAGATCGTTGTCGGACGGAAATGGCTGTCACCGCGTTGCCACGGTGTACTGCCGAGACGATTGTGTTAATTTAAAATACTTTAGCACTTGGTTAGTGAGCTAACTGAATTTTAGATTGCTTAATGTGGATCGTGTCCAAAAGGCAAAAGTTAATACGGGTACAAATGTTCAAGTTCAAGATCGATAATACCTGTACACATAAAAAAATACTTTATCCTTTTCATGGATGTAAAATTCGAAATATAAAATGCCACTACATCAAATATTGCAAGAATGCCGAAGCATCACAGTTCCTGTTACCTCTATGATACCCAATTCCTTCCCCCCTAGCATTAGCACCGCAATATGATATACAGCTCGTTTTCTTCATGCTCAATTGTCAAATTAATATGGAGTTTGACAGTTAAACGAGATAAAAAACGTGATACAGTGGTGCTCATGCTACGGGGACTTGATGACTCACAGTCACAGCACTATGTAAACATTATTAAGCGCATGGGAATGATTGAAATAAAAAAAATAAGTATAAAAATAACAGCATATATACATTCGTAGCATTATAAAATTTATTAAAATTCAAGATAGTTTGGTCGTTCATAAATTAAGAAAAGTGGGCAGCTTAAGCTATACTTAATCCTTCGAATCGGCTACACCTCCGTTGGTTATAGCAAAAGTTGCTTCGCTTTCTGGCAGGTCAGGAGAGTCGTATATCTTTGCTATTCTGTTCTCTCCCCTTCCTTTTCTAAGGGATATCCTGGTAGTGGAAGCGTGTGCGAGTATATTACCCCCGATCGGCTTTTTAGGATCGGCTTGAAATGTCAACGTGGCGCCGGGGTCGGCGGTCATTTGATTAGTGATGAAAACCGCCACGTTGTATTCTTCGGAAATCTGGTGATGGGTTTTAGACACAATATAAAAGTTTTGGCATTAAACTGCTAGATTTATAAGTTGTAGAAAGTTTTACCACCATTTTAAAAAATAAAAAACCACTCTGTCCAGGCATCAGTTGGCCTATTTGCTATTTTTTTTTATATTTACAGTGTGTAACTGAAGTGTAAATCGCATATCCATCGAAGCTTTTCGTTATAATAAAGCAGTAGTGGATCAGTAAATAGCTCGGTGATCATCACTTCCACCTTTCAAAAACTGTTAGCGAATAGGCCTACAGACAGGATACATTCGAACAGGATACATACGTTGCGTTATTTGGCTGTATAATTAAAGTCTGCGCGGTTATTGGTTAATGCACCATACATGTATACCTCGAGCAGGGTTACCATTTAGGAATTTCAAAAGTCCTGACAAAAATCCTGACATTTCGAAAAAGTCCGGACTTTTTAGTCACAAAATGCTACCATTACTCACTTAGTTACAATGGTATGGTATATAAATCAATATGTACTTTGATTATTCATATTCAATGTAATAAAAATACCGGACAATTTAAAGATCCGGACAAAGTCCGGACATGTCAGGACTAATTCTGGACGGATTGTAACCCTAACCTCGAGGAGCTCGATGGTGCAGGTGGTTAGCGCGTTCGGCCTTATTTTGTGTCTGGGAAATGCCTTACGTATCCTTCATCCACCGGGGGAGCGAGAAGAAGGTATGCGGGACTCCTCCCTGCTCACTTCAGCCGACCCTTGGGCTGGATTAAGTGAACAGCGATCGTGGAAGTTAAGCAACTTTCGCAATGATAGGTCTTATTATCTGGTGCTTCTCCGTGCTTCGGAAGGCACGTTGAGCCGTTGGTCCCGGCTGCATCTGCGGTCATTAGCACTAATCCATTTTGGGCCTGCGTCACAGAATATATATGTCGTGGCCATATCGTAGATTTGCTCACTTCATGAAATGCTCGAGAATTTGAAATGCCATCATGAAATGTGACCATTTCATGATGTGGCCAACTTAATTTGACCAGATCATTAAATCGTCATCATTTAACGATTTGGTCATCCACATTTGGTCGGATCTTATAATTAGGGTGTCCATAAAATATTTATTAAAAATCCAGAATATGTAAGAACTTGTTTATTGTTATTTAAGTCCGAATGACACAAACAAATTTAATCAAATTTTTGTAACATAATAAACAAATTTAAGATTTTTTTTCCTAAATTAAACATCAAACATGTCAAGAACTTACACATTTATATTTAGAAAACTATCAAATATTTAGAAATAATAAGGTACTTTGGTACATATATACAATAATAGACTTAACTGTTCTTCCAGGGCCCAAACGGTAATACTTCACACTAGGTTAGGTTAGGTTAGTGTTGTGACCATGACGAGCCGAGCGAGCAAAGCGAGCATGCCCCGGCAGCGGCCGGCGAAGCGCCAGAAAAAAAACTCTATTAAAAGAGACCTTTTCTACAAAAGAAATTCAAACATCACCTCTTAGGCCCTGGAAGTACAGTTTTACAGTATATCTTTGTACGGCATTGATTCTCATCCGCACCTTGTACCTCAACCGCAGTTTCCAAAATGTCATATTTTGACAGCCAGTAATAGTCCATAGATTTCTTTTGCGTAGTCACCCTACTTTCCTTAATTTGTTTCCTCGAAACCCTTTTGTTAACTTTCTTCCTCATTAAATAACGAATTATGCACTTTTTCACTGCGAGAAACAATATTGTCGGCAGCGGCTGCCATATAAATATATAAACAAAGCGCTTGCAGCGCCTCTACCGGTAGTTAATGTAACTACTTTACAATATGATCAAATATTTTTTGCCATTTCATGAAGTAGCCACGCGTTTAGTTGGCCATATCGTGAAAGGATTTCTTATCATTGATCTGCCCAAACCACATCATGATGTGGCCAATAGATAGTGAAACATTTCATGAAATTCTCGAGCATTTCATGAAGTGATCAAATGTACGATATGGCCACGACATATACACTACCCGAACACACTACACTACACTACGCCTGCGTGGTGGTTTACGGCCCAACGGACGGCCTGTACACCGGGGACAATGATGATGTCATCATCATCATAGTTATATACCTACCTATGAAACCGTATCATATTACAAGTTTTCAAAAACAGGAAATAATATTATAGTTATAAATACAGTTCGACAATCGACAGTATAAGTACAAGCGTGTTTATGTGTATACTATCGGTAAAACTATAATAGGTAGGTGCTTAAGTTCCATGGAAGTTACACGTGTCTGGTGCCTTACTACTATTCATCAGTATGGATCATTGGATGACAAATAATCAATTTGTAATCGTCTTATCCATTGATGACTAATATTTAGAAGGAACGTGTTATTATTATTATCTTGAATTTACATAAAGGTATTATGAGTGTTAATTTAACATTTATATGAGAAGTGGGGTATATTAAAAATATTAAGATTTCGAGTTATCTAAGAGTCAGTCACCCTAGCATAAGCAACCGGATGTCAGTTGATTATCACAGAACCCAGTAAACTTGAACTCGCACGCGTCGTGGTTAGATTACGTTAACATTTTTAAATAAACTAGTAAGAATGTATAAGGTTACTTAACTACTAGTACTAAGTAATCGAGTAAACTTTGAATGTTAATTTTATTCAATCATAACACCACTATGCTATGCTACATTTGGCCATGGCCAATATATCTAAAGTGTACTCCGGCTAAAATACAGGCACCTTCGTGGCAGCGTTGCCAAACGTTCCGATTTTTAAATCGAAATTTAATGTCCCGCGCGGACAGGCTCAATCCCGCTTTTCGGGAATAACTCGATTACCATGCGTGCAGCTTACTGAGAAAGCACGGGCGGTTGGCACAGACAAGTGTGGACTCTCCGCCTGCCATCCGCCTGCCCGCCGCGCTTTATGAAGATAGATATTCAATAACTTTTAATTATATACGTTTTTTTACTATGTATTCGGCGAAAGAATCCCGCTTTTTCACTCAAAAAGTTCCTAAATCCCGACTTGGCAAAAAAAAATCTGGCAACGCTGCTACGTAGTCAGAGTTGTATTTAACCTACATTGACAGAGTTGGGATAGCGGTAATTACAGAGGTAGGATATATGCAGGGGGTGACGCCCTTCGCAGGTTCGCAGCCTGGCGCCCCGTTTTAGGCTAAGGAAATGGTATTTTAAGATGGGGTATAATGTTCCCCCCTCCCTCTAGCTATGACCCTGCTACAATATAACCTTTATAAAGCCCGTCACAGACGTAGCTATAATATATATTAATATGAATCATAGCAAGGCATATTACAACATATTTTCAATATAAATTTTCGAGTGACCGCACACGCAGCTATAATATATATTTCTATGACGTCACCAAAATATGTCGACAGATATATTTTGGCATATTAGTGTATATTTTGCCATATTAATATATATTTTGATATATTTTTATGTTCCATTTTTCACCGAACGCCTGCCAATATATATATAGCTCCCGTCTGTGGTAGTTTGTTTAATATAATATCTCGATATATTAATATATATTATAGCTACGTCTGTGACGGGATATATTTTGTTATATTAGTATATATTTTTAATACAGAATGTTCAACTTTTCTCTGAACGCCTGCGCGATCGCCGGCTCAAGCGCGCACGAGCATTTCTCTTTCGCCCTCCCTCTCCTAAAATACTGTGAAAAGGAGATTGCTCAGCTTCCATACATGTTTGGCCTAAAGACCAATAATCATGAAAAATTGTTTCCTAGATTCGAAATTATATATAAATTACTGTAGAAACGAATATTATTGACGGATACCCCTGAGAACTTCTATAAACCATATACACTGAACAATTTTGAGGTTATGTTTGCAAATAGGTACGTATTAAACTAATAAAAAAACCAATAAGTTATAGTAAACTAGGGAACTAGTACCGAAATTATGTATTAGATTCAGGTATATAGAGCATGTAGATTAACAGATAGTTGTCTGTTTTAAAGTTAATGCACAAGAGTAACTTTTAAAGTCAGGTATCATCTATGCATTTCCGGTTATAATAAGGAAGGTACTCTGTGACAGAAACTGTGAATGAGTCACAGATTAGAGAGAATTTTTAAACTCTCGTTAACCAAAGAAAGATTTAGGTTATACCGCCATATCTTCAGTAGCTTCATTATTTTTGTTATGTTTATATTATAACCATATTTTAGATTTTTAGTGTATCACACCTTATAATGTGGTTATGGAGGTGTTTGGCGAAAAATTTATAGCAATAGATTTTATGATGTCGCCTACCATCTATAATAATTGTCTTAGCATATTTGCATGTAGTGAAAATGATACTATAGTTGTGGATATTAATAGCACAGTGGTATCAATTCTGACATGATTCTCTAAACCTAAACTTAAATTTGATAACAGTGTATCCTTGTTATTCTCTATACAGCATGAAAAGGAGAGACTGATGTTAAATTTAGATTTAAGTTTAGAGAATCACGCCAGAATTGGCACCAGTGTAATAAAAAAATGATATTTTATCGATCTTTACAAAATAGATTTGATTTTATGTTATATAAACAACTTCGATCAGTCTTTGGCTGAATGTTACTACACCCGAATAGCCATTAAAAATGTATATATATTCGTATGTTTTCCAAACCGGTAAAATAAAAGTCCTTTTTAAAATGAATATATTATACAAAGGTGTCCGTTAAAATTTAATGACTGTAAAATAAAGTATAAATTACGCCAATAATTACCGTATATGTTAATACTTTTGTGCATTTGGGCCAATTTGAGCAATCTCCTTTATTGGATGACAAATCACGATACAAATTTAATTCGCCACAAGTTTTTTTTTTGTTTTATATGCGACTCTACCCAGATGGTTCTATTTTTCGTTCCTGACAAGGCAACATGCATATCAAATTCAGCATCGGAATCATCCTTTGAGGAACTTTCAATTAAATCTAAAAGTAATTTCGGTAAGATTGATCATAACGTTATTTCAAAATTAAAACACCCTGTGCTAGAAAATAAGCTTTAAAACCGTGCGCTTGCAAAAACGACCGCAGACCGAGTGAGGGCAAAATATATATTATAGTATAGCTCCCGTTTGTGGTAGTTTGCTATAATATAATATATATTTCGATATATTAATATATATTATATTATACGTCTGTGACGGGCTTAAGCCGTCGCAGTTCATTATACGTACGATAAAGCTTGCATAGCCTATTCTATAATTTTCGCCTTTTTTATGTTTAGCTTCAGTCTTAGACTCTAAGGCTCTTAATGAAACGGAAAGCATAAAATAACCATGCTATTTCCAAAAAAATAAAATTGTAACAATACTAAAAATATTGCTTTTTAATTTAAGTTTACTTTTTTCTCAGGACAACGATTATAAACTTTCGTTGTTCACGTTTTTAACTAGCCTGTGGAAATTTATAAAATTTGCGATCACTGTCTTTGCCATTGCTCTTTTAGTTAATTAGGCGCACAGCACGGATGCACGGATACGTACATTTTGCAACTTAAAAAGTGCCAGTTGATCTGCCGAAAGTTCCATTTTTCGGAAGGTATAGAATTTTTTTAATGATAAACTAAAGTGTATATATCCTATGGCCATAGAATATAACCACTCACGGGTCACGACCCGGGACGACTGCAAGAGCTACGAGGGGCGGCAGAACCCACATAAAAGCATTTGGTAGTGACCTTTATTTTGATTTGATTTATACATATAATAAAATGGTAGGAAAGTCAAAACAGTACATTGAATATTTTTTTAAGAGAATACTTGGGGCAGAAGCGCCTCTAGCCCATGTGGCGCCCGTGTGTAAAATTATCCTAGCTCCCCCTAGTAAGCATGTGATCACAATGGAATGAGTAAGTACAAGTAAAAACACATCATCAAACTGTCAAATTTCAAAAATGAATAATAACTTCTATTGTTTGTAAATTAAATTTGAAGCAGAAAGTCACACGGCCGTCCTGTGGGGCTTCGAAGCGGGCGACGTCGGCGCTCGGCGCCCCCTAGGACTTTGCACCCGTGTGCAACGCACACCCTGCACCATAGGTAAAGACGCCTCTGACTTGGGGTGTGATCTACAATCGATACCGAAACCAAAAATATAGTGTTTTGAATTTTTGTCTGTTTGTCTGTATGTATGTCAGGGATAAACTCAAAAAGTACTGCATGGATTTACTTCAAATTTGGCACAAATATTTTTAAGAAGTCGGGTCAACATATAGGCTACATATTATCACGCTATCACCTACGAGGAACGAGCAGTGAACCTTTATTTCTAACTAACTCCACGCGTACGAAGTAGCGGGCGGCCGCTAGTTTAAAGGACGCCCCTGAATACTTACTTTCTGCAATCTCGATAGCACTTGTGCCAACTTCTGCTGTCGATCCGCCAATTCTCCCCGTCCCGAGAAGTCCACTCTAAACAACGCCATTATGGAATCTATGATGAGTAACTTAAACACTCCTGCGTCTTCATGAAACTTGGCAGCTACATAGTCAAGCAGTTCAGCCTGGTGAGAAAATGTGTGCAAGGTAACTAGGTAGAAAAAATGTATGATAATTAGGTAATATATTAGATAAGTAGTCGAGGTGTGGCTTTCTACTTTCAAGGGGAGTCCGCTACTACCTACTCGATTTAGGTGATAGGAAGAGAAGAAACTCTATAACAATGGGAACCAACCATAAAACATCTTCTATTTTAGTTTATGATAGATATTTAGGTGAAGGGAAGAGAAGAAACTCTATAACAATGGGAACCAACCATAAAATATCTTCTATTTTAGTTTATGATAGATATTATTAGGTCATCTTAAGATATTTTGGCCACAAGCACTGCTACACTGTGAGTGAGCTATATATGAAATGATAAGTGAAAACTTCATCATTTAATTGACCTTAAGTAATCTAAATCTCCGATGATTTGTGACATGTTCTTTATTGTGTAGCTAAATTAATGCGTTATAGAACGATGTAATCTATTTAATTATTTTTACCTCATTCAATATCCAGTATCCGTATCATGGAAGTGTATTAGAAATAAAATAACATTAACTAGCTAGCTAGTCCGTCATATAAGTAATAATAATAACCTAAGCATGCATTTGTCATCCAAACTAAAATGTGTATGCAAAATTTCATCTCTATCTTTATTATATAGGTAATAGGATAATTTTCAATTCAGATGCATAAGCACGAATTTTGACAGCTCGATAGGTAAGTACCCTTATAAGCACGAATCAACATCGAATTCTAATAGCCGAATTCGATCTCGTTACGCGTCAAATGCCAAGTTGAGTTTTGCATGGAAAATGAGCAGCGCAGACGTGATGAGAATTAAAAATCTTCCATAGAAAACTTCTTGACATTTGACGTGTACCGTATCGCATCGGTAAAGTTTATATAAACACTAAGCAGTTTTTGTATCTGAGTAATGCCTTACGAATCCTTCAACCACTGGGGGAGCGAGAAGAAGGTATGTGGGACTCCTCCCTGTCCCCTTCAGATAACCCTGGAGCTCGCTGAAGTGAACAGCGCCCTACCTACGCTCTGAACAGGGCTTATAAAAACCAGACCATATTCCTGCACCATCACCCGACACGCAGTATGAGAACCGCGGTCAGTCATGCCGAGAGGGCGGGTGTGGTCGCGGCTCCCGTCTTCGAATGGGTGGACGTAAGACCTAAGACGCTCCTTCCATACAAAAGACTATGACGATACGATTACGGATCTTTCAAAGTTCGTGCTTCGGCCTCTGTTGCAAGATTTGACATGAAGTAACTTAAAATATACGTATGTACATGGAAAGTTAAATAAAAGATTAAATATGTAAATGAGACTCAACTAGATTTTGCTTGCTCTCTAAAATACCGAGTTTTTATATCGAAAATATTTTAATACTTACAATCTGCGCGGCACAGCCGCGCTCGCGACAACAAAGGTCGTCGGACAGCACCTTACGTGGTATCATTTCATATACTCTAATGATAGTCGCAATGTTTGATTCATGTACCTAAGTAGGTTAAATAAACTAAGACGCAACAGTCAACAAAACTGCCCCTGACCTTGAGTTCAAGTGCACGAAGTTCGGATATTGCTTGAATATTTTTTACTAATAGTTTTTTATGGTTACAATCACTATTTATATAAGTTATAAAATCACTTTTTAAAAAGTGCATTTTGGCTACTTTTTTTTGTAAAGGTCGTACTCGTTTTCGTATTTTTCTTCGCCTACGAAATCTTTGATCTTAAACATGCTTACTGTCTAAGATGCTTAAATCTAAAGGTGCTGTTTGACGGCCGGTGAAGTTGCGGGCGCGGCCGCACCGCGCAGGGTTGCCAAACTTAGGAGAACTTTAACGTTTGAGATTTATCAGTCTCTATACTTGATACGAGGTAAATAGAAATATCGTAAACTTTGTGATGGCATAATGAAGCTGTAATTACTAAGTCAATCCTTTGTGGACTGGAAATTTATTTACTTTCTGATAATATTTTTAGTTTGTGTACATGACGCAAACAGTCAACATTGTTCAAATCTCATATCAAAGTGTACGAGATTTCTATTTACCTCGTATCAAGTATAGAGACTGCTAAATCTCTAACGTTAAAGTTAGCCTTTTATTTTTTTTTCCATGACGGGGAGAAAAAGTTCATTATATCCACGATAATGACCAACGTCACGTTGGTTTGCTGTTAACAAACCCTCGTGATGCAGGTAATTGCGTGATACATTCGGCTAGCGGCGAGCAGCCCTTGGGCCGCTAGTCGGTGCGGGTTTACTTTGCCGTGCACTCACGCAAGCGTGGCATACGTTTTCCCGTACCTACCAGGTAAACCAACTCCCTGGAGGGTGAGGGGTAGATACCCCTCATCCGTAACTGCTGGTCGCCAGTTATGAGTCGCTGCTTGTTACGCCTGACGACGTTTGGCAAGCCTCCACGGCGCAGCTACGCTCGCGACAACGAAGGTCGTCGGACAGCACCTTACGTGGTATCATTTCATATACTCTAATTATAGTCGCAATGTCTGATTCATGTACCTAAGTAGTTTAAATAAAATAAGACCCAACAGTCGACAAAAACTGCCCCTGACCTTGAGTTCAAGTGCACGAAGTTCGGATATTGCTTGAATATTTTTTACTAATAGTTTTTTATGGTTACATAAATCACTTTTTAAATAGTGCATTTTGGCTACTTTTTTTTACAGTGGTCGTACTCGTTTTCGTATTTTTCTTTTCTATCGTCAATGGTTTGAATTGGTTTGCGATTTGTTTTAAAAATATATATTTGACAAATACACTTGATGTATTATTATTTACCTGATGTTCTGAGGTGTAAGCTCGTGCGTATAGGACATTATCCAACATAGCATTTTGATCCAAATTAAACCTGTCCGCTATAGGTCGAAGTCTGTCCGGCCGGCTGATTAACGATAATAAGGAAATCATGTCAATACAGGCAAGGTTCCGATTAAATTTAGACGGAGTCGGAAAATGTAGCTATAATAAAAAAAAAGTGTAAGTCTGTTAAATAGCTGTTCTTAGTGCGTCCTTTTCTCTACACGCATTTTGGTATTATTATCTTTTTAGAATATTATAGGATTTAATAAGGTAAATATCGGTAAACACTAGTCCCTAGACATTGCTCTGACGCTGATACCAAAGAACTCGTATTATGGAAATAAGAAACAAACATACTACATACACTCAAACCTGAGACAAAAACTGAATTCCGGGGACCTTGACTTCTCTGAGATCAGGGTGTACTTAAAAATTGGGTGCAGTAGGTTCACTTGCGATTTGCATCGTCACCCCCTAGAATTAATAAATCAAATCAAAATATAGGTCATCATGTATTGGCTTCTGCCTCCCCTCACATTTCTTGCAGCCGCCACTCGTAGCCAGCCGCGTCGGGCTATTGCCCCCTTGGCCCTAGGGTAAAGACTAATACTTACCTTATACCAGCTGTACATTAATTATAAAGTTTGAGATGCCCATTTGGGTAATCGGAAGTTTATTTTGCTTAAAATAAAAAAGGATACAAAGTGTGCTCAGTGTCAAGGAACATGACTTTCCCTCCATGATAACCGTTTGAGGTGGGTATTTGTGTGGTCACACACAATGTGTGGGAAAGTTGGGTTTTTCCAGTGCGAAACTCGCCGAAAACTTCAGTTATTGCCATTGATTCAATACCACCTGCGAGCAGACGACTGTAATAAATGCAGCCTTTTAAATATTTCAAAATCTTTTTTTTTTAAAATAATTGGAATAATTTTTGATGTTTAAACTCTGATACTAAGTTACTTACTCTAATTCGCTACTTCCGGTGCTAATTTTGAACACCTGTTTGCGGCGATCGCTGACTTCTAGGGCAGTCATGAATCCTAACGATGCCACTTTCTGACAAGCTTCTTTTATTTTTTCCACTTTGGTTTCTGAAAAACCTTTTATGTTATTTAATTTCTTCTTAGTGGACATTTGAATACCTTTTATGGTACATATTCCAGCTGCTTTCAATTTTTTTATGTCTGCTACATTGATGCCATGTTTTTGTAAGATGTCCACGTCTTGAAAGAAACTTTCTTCGTCATCATTTTCGGAGACATTATCATCTAATCCTTGTTCTATCATACTGAGTTTGTGAAATTAACTTTAATTCACTTACTGCAAAAATATAAAATTCCCGCTTTAAATTCATAGACAAAAAATAGTTTATATTTTTGGTTAGTGTTTTTCACCAGGAAAGCTAAGAAGACTGTCCACACAGCCTCATCTTTAATAAAAGCATTTCTTTCTTTTTTGTGTTGACCGCGGGTGTAATCTTAGTACAATTATGTATTTCTTGGAGTGCTCCACAGTCATTTTCTCTTTGTCAATGAGCTTTTGTAAGGTAGTCAGCACATCAATAAAGTTATTATTCCTGTATAATTAAAAAAAATGAGATTTCTCTAATTTTACATATTTGCAAATGATAGTAACCTGATTATAAGGAACTTGTAACAAATGCTGGTAACTTATAATAACAGCACTTTCATACTTATAGTCCTCATACAAAATTTACATTTGAAATAGGAAGCTGATGGCATTCCGCTAAAATCTTTTATTTTATTCATTCATACACGCCTCGTCATTAGTAGTGTATTTTAATGAATCTTTTATGTTCTTTTAGAATTATCAAATCAACTTTGTTAATAAGCTTCTTGTAGCACTACAAGAAACTTGTTGATTGAAATAACATCAGCATTAACTGATAAAGTCATCATGGAATAAAATAAAATCAATCATTTCTTTGTATCTGGTTTTATCAATATCACATGCACATGTAAATCGTAAATCAACAAAGAGACTATGCCATGATTACGTCGCCTCGTGTATGGAGGCTGTAATGTGTCATGGTCTTGCTTCATGGGAATTCAGCTTAAGCGCTATTTGACAGGTAACCACAGATAACGTTAACTTGTTCAGTCTACAGAGAAAAAATAATTTGTGCAAAATAAAAAAAATCTCTTTTTAGGCGGAATAATGAGCAAGGTTCTGCATACGTGTAAATTATATTATTAAAATGATCTAAGTTTTATTTCGTCAGCTTTTTCTTTCAATAAATACAATACTGGCTTTTTAGGAAAAACATTGACAATTTATATATTAATGAACAAAAAGAAGAAGAAGTTTTTTTCTTCCAATTTGATGTTTTTATCGGGCAACATTGTATGTGTCTACGCTTCGATCAGAAAATCTCTTGCGGCGCATTTTATGGGATTTTTTGATAAAATAATAGAATTTCATCAAGAAAATTATCGCCTAATTCATCTCAGTTAAGGTAAGGGAGTAAGTTAACCCTCCGGAAGTACTGGAAAGTGATTATTTATTATGTTCATATATATTTCCTTCTGTATCACAGCCATGTTGAAGTAGTGTTGATTTTATAAGTTTTCGCCAGTTTATCGTTGTAAAAAGTTAAAGTTGTTCACAAGTAAATGTGACAGACCTAAGTTTCGTTTGTGTTGTGATTATAAAGTTGAAAAGTCTTTCCGATATGAAAAGTGTTGTAAAGTGCCACCGATACTGGCTTCGAGGCGTCGTCTGTAAGGTAAGACTGGACGTGTCTTCAATATACATCAGAACGTAGTTCCAAATATCATTAAAAAAAACGTTGCTCAGTAAGAGTTAGTTTCATTCAAAAATTTGTTAATGGTGTAGTATATTTACTTTTTTATTTTACAGGCTCAAAAACTGTAATAATTTTTACAAAGATTTGATCCCTAAAGTATGAATCATATGTAAACTACTGTTTTTATTTAAATGAGCAAAATTGTTGCTTATTTATATTGTCAATGTTAATATTTTTTGTGGTGTACTGTTTTAAAATAATGTAATTGAAGGCTCTAAAGTGTGTTTATAGTATTTTTTATGGTATAACAAAAAACATTGTGATGAAATATTTTTGTGTGATTATTACTACTTTACTAACAATGATATTATAATTTATTTACATTAAAACTGTAATGCTTATGGGCTGGGTTTTATCGCAACAAGTGATTTATCATTATCATGAAATTGTCATCTAATTTCAGGGATGGATTCGGAAGATTCAAGAGGTGGTGGAACTGGGGATGCTCATTCTTCTTCGAGTAGTAGCAGTTCCAGTTCAAGGAGTAGACGAAGCTCATCCTCAGATAGAAGTGAAACTTCTAAGAAAGATGTTAAATCTCCTCCTCGATCACCACCAAGATCACCGTCTTCACCAAAGTCTGAGGGTCCTCGGTCACCTTCTCCAGAGAGCAGATCCCAGTCACCATCATTGCGATCTCGCTCTCCATCAAAACCACCACAGTCACCTGGTAACTTGAGTGAAGCACATTCTGACATTAATTCACCAGAAAATTCAATGCCAGGATCACCATCAGGTTCTAAATTACCTGATGCTCCTAAATCACCCAGTGATGCTGGTTCTAATATCGGATCACCTGATCGGACTGGTCAGTATTCTTCAGCTCCGCCTTCTCCTTCTGTTGGTGAGGGTCCAAAGACTCCACAAAGCCCGAGTTCTGCTCCTGGTTCACCTAGTTCTAGATCCCGTCCAGATTCAAAATCTCCATCAGAGAGAAATCCAGATGCACATTCCCAATCCTCTAGTCCATCACCAGATAGGGCATCGTCAAGGTCTCCAGTAGGATCACCACAACCCACAAAAAAAGATTGGAGTCCAAAAGAAAAATGGAGGAGACACACTAAAGCAGAACAGAAAATGGTTCCCATGATGAGGGAACGCAGTAGATCTGAGTCCAGTCAATCCAGTAGAAGTTCTTCTTATAATAAAAGACGTTCTAGCACAAAGGATCCTGCTACTGAAGAAATCTCTGATGGTAAATATATCCTCCATATCTTTAAACAATACTAATAATAACTAAAAAGCTTTGTATAAAGGTTTCGCTGGGATCTGGAGTGAAAAAGAGTAGAATGTGATACTACTACTACTGATACATTTCTACGCTGATAGACTATCAATATTCCCTGCGCCATTATGGTATATTGCCATATGATTGTAACAAATTTCTTCTTGTATTTCTTAGGCTGTAAATCAGCGCCATTTCTTCAAATTGTAGGTAAATCACAATGTCAAATGTACACTTTTTCAAGTTTTTGACCATCTGAAAAAAAATGGGTTCGCCCAGACTACGGCAGCTACAAAAGTTTTTTAGTGTTTAAACATTTAATGAAATTTATCAAATCCTATTTTTCCACATGAATATTCTTGTAATTGATTTGTATACACCAATAAGAGTCACTGTTTATCCAATGCAACGACTTGGTAAAATATTATGGTATTTGAAACTGTGGATGAGTAGCATTATAGAGAAAACTGTATACTGGTGTCAATTCTGACATGATTATCTAAACTAGATGTTTAAATCTAAAGAAAAGTTTTTCTAGTAAACTTTCTTTAGATTTAAACATCTAGCAGTCAAATGCTTAAAAAATAAATATAAACATGATTATCTAAACCTACACTTAAATTTGACAACAGTGTATCTTTGTCATTCTTTATACAGAATGAAAAGCAGAGACTGATGTCGAATTTAGTTTTAAGTTTAGAGAATCATGCAAGAATTGACACATAAGTCAACTTAAATAAATATTTTTATAAGTTAGAATAATTTATTTTAAATTGTAGACTACACACAAAACTTTGATGAAAATTATAGATGACTGCCTCTAGAAGAGGAAAATATAACACATTTCCTTATCAAAAATATGGTTTAAAATAAAATTTAAACATGTTAAATTGTATTACAGGTGAAATGGAATCAGACCAAGAAGATAGAAAGTCACGGAGTAAATCTGTGACAAGTGAAAAAATAGAAGCAAAGGATTTGAATATAAGCCATGAAGACTTATCGGATGTCTCTGATTTAGACTCTGTTGGACCAGATGATTCAGAAAAAGAACCAAAGGTATGCAAAAAACATCTAGGTTTAATAGAGTAGCCAATATGTTCTGTAATTTTACTAAGAAATAACATTCATTGTACTGCGTGTTTTAGAGAAAGGGGTTTGCGGGGGGTAACCCTGCATCACCTGAAAATAAACCTGAGACAAATGTAAATGGCGTCAATATTGCAAGTGCTCAATCGTCCCCTAAATCAGACAAGGGAAGTCCAAAAATAGAAACACAAAAATTAGAAAAAGTAAGTTGTACCGATAATCGTTTGTGATTTTAGTAAATGAAAGAATATTAGTTCCAGTGTAATTAATACAATGGCGATTGATTGATGATGTTCTGGAACATAGAGTTCATGAATTTTTCTTGCTGCTATCAGGCAACTGCTATCAGCTGTGCATAAAGCACATGCATGATTATTTTCGAAATTTAAATATCCCTTTTGACACTGTAATTATTTATGTGAAATCTTAACAAAAGGTGTATTCTGTTTTTATTTTTTTACCTGTCCATAAAACATTGTGTTATAAATAAATTATTAGTTGTAATTTTATAGTTGATAATAATTGTGCGAGCGAATAAGAGGTTATGTTATAGTGAATAGTTAGATAATAATAACAACTGTTAGGTACCACAAGAAAAGACAAGTAATACTGAAGATGGTGAAGAACAGCTTGATTTTGAAGCAGAGGAGGGGGAGTGTATTGAACCTAAACAGTCAGATCAGGCCAATGGCGATACTGATACCAAAGGACAAGAAAAAGGTAATGATTAGTGCAATGAAGTTAAGATATAATCATATGAATTTTTTTCATAATTTAGTTATTTATCATAAACTAGCTATGACTTTGTCTGCACGGAATAATTGACACCACATTTTCACCCCCCCTTTACCAAAACTTGATGAGCGTGAATCCCTACTTTTCTTTTGTTTCACAATGAGAGGTAGGGCACAGCGGACTTTCCGCTCGAATTAGAGTGCTCGTCTGGGGAAGAAAGCTGCACCTTACAGTAGACCACATTAAAATAATACTACCTTTTGCTAGTGTTGTGTTTCTGTCGGTAAGTTGGGTTCCTGGGCAGGGTAAGTAAAATTTTACTATGACTTTAACATGACATGGCAGTTAAAGTAAGTGGGGGCAACTTACTCTAAGGGTAGCTCATAATATAATACATAATAACATACATAACATAATCGGTCCGGCATAGTCAGTTCAGCAGTATTTACTATAGCTACCCTATATATATATATTAGCTACCCTAACTTCTCAAATTGGCATGACATTAAATGTGATTCTAAATTACATCAGTCTGTTTGAGCCTTACGTTATAGACTTCATTAGAAGCGTCATAGCGGTATAGAAGAACTAAAGACAATTTGTTTTACTAGAATATTAGAATATTAGTTTTACTATAAAACTAGTTTGTATTTTACAAACTCAGTCAAAGTTTCAAGCAGTTCTCAACCTGTTAAATGCTTAAAATAAAAAATAAATTATACAGATGACGTGAAGCCCAGTCGTCGGTCCCGTGGATCTTCTTTGGAGGAAGGCGAAGTGTCCGATGAAGCGGAACGTCGCCCTGAGGAAAGTGAGCCTCGGCCTGTGTGCAGGTTTTTCTCTCGAGGTGCTTGCACTTGGGGTGTTAGTTGCAGGTAATCTAGTAAATCATTTATTTATGCATATTGTTAAAGTGACACTTTTACAATAAAAAGTTTACATTTATATGCGAAGGCTTGAAACATTATCATCATCATAAAGTATATAAATAATTTCTAACACTGACACATTACCCTAGTATTTTACACTTTTATTAGTGTACTAATTCTAGAAACTGGCATTTCACCTTGGCTATTGCCTGGCTTGGTATTTTTTTTTTGTTATTTGTAGACTTGACATCAGTCTGTTCTTTTCATTCCTTGTAAAGACTTGTCCAGTTTACAAATAGCAAACATGAATATCCAAGTGAAGTGCCGGTATCATATATTAACAGCCATGATAAATGTTTGTCTTCGTCATACAGATATTGCCCCACCAGGATTCGAATCTAGGACGTCTGATATGGATGACATTTCGAAGATCGCCAAAATCAGCCTCTCAACGACAGCCTATTAATGTCCCCCCTGGTGGGACACAGGCTATCCTAATGTACGGAATAAGGAGATGGGCCATGACTGAGTTTTTCTTAAATAAGTTACAGATAAATGCCAGTATGATATATAAGTAGAACTAACGATTGTGGTTCTTCATTATTATCAGCCTATTAATGTCCCCACTGCTGAGGCACAGGCCTTCCCCATGGATGGAATAGGGCGACTAAGCCATGATCCATCACGCGGGCCGCGTGTGGCCACACGCGGCTTAACGTGCCTTCCGAAGCACGGAGGAGCTCGAGATAGTAAATTTTTGGTCACTCATCTAATGACCAACCACTGCAAAAGTAGCTTAACTTCAACGATCGCAGCCGAAAAACGATCCACATGCGGCATCCAGCTCCTCCATGACGATTGTGGTTAAGCAGGGTAAAAAGTAAGAACAAACCAACTGCCAATCAGTCAAGCATTCTCTTATGTGAATATGGAATCATTAAATTTTCCCAATTTGCTCGTAGGTTCCTCCACCCCGGTGTGACGGACAAGGGTAACTACAACATGTTCGAGGTTGTCCGTGGGGTGCCGACAGGGGGGCCGTATAGCGCCGCGCCGCCCCGAGACACGGCACCCCCGGAGTCCGCCTGGGAACGGGGACTGAGGACTGCGAAAGAAGTGAGTTATGGCAGTTTATATCAAAGGAGAATGTGTTATGAGAACACCGGTGTGACGGACAAGGGTAACTTAATTTTTGAAGTTATACTTCTTTAGGCGCGTTATGAAAAAAATGATGAGAGTGAAACTTTTAGATGCGCGCGCATCACTGTAACCCAAAAGTAACAGCATGAAGTTGGCCGCGGGCGCGTTATGAAAAAATCATGTGAGTGAAATTTCGAGATGCGCGGGCATCACTGTAACACAATAGTAACACCATGAAGTTGGCCGCGGGCGCGTTATGAATGTTAGTGTCTAATAATGGTGGATTATTAACCACTTAGTGGTTAATAATCCACCATTATTAGACATCTGTTCGAAAGGTACTTTGAACGATCCACGGAGCTCCATAAGATGATCGCGTTGTCAAAAACAATGTTGGCACGCTTGTCGCCTCTGATCACTGTTTTCATATTTATAATATTTATCCACATGTTTCTAGTTTCTATATAGACACAACGTGTTTTAGTTACTTACAAGTGCTAATTACATATGGACTAATAACTTAAATTCAGTAGTGATTTTAATTGAATATTTTGAATATTTATTTAATTTTTCAAATTAAAACTGAACTTAATTGACTGTGTTAACTATCCTTTTCCAGTCCTTTTATTATTTTATTGTAATTATTAATTATTTGCATGCAATTAAAAAATATTTTTAATGATGCTAAAGAAGTATAACTTCTCACGCGCATACATGACTTACACGCATCCATTTTTTTTTTACTGCCAGCACACTTGTTCATCCCCCAAAATAAGATGACCGCGTTTGAACTCGCTAAACCAGTGTTAGATGATTGCTTTTGAAGGTGCTTCATCCATAAAAGCAGCATAAATTCATTTCATCTTCATCCATATAAGCATTAAACGAAAATATAAATGAATATAAATTTATTTATTCATGAAGGATATCTTACACGATATTTTTTCGTTAAATTACGTAGTAATGTTTTAAATATGTATCACTCACACAAAACCGATAACAAAGTACGTATTTTTGTGTAGAACCAAAACTGCAGAAACGTTGATATGAAATCTCATAGTTGCATTGTTTGTTTTTATTATTGCACTGTTTTAATTGGGACAGAAGTTTCTTTTGGAACGGTATGGTGGATGGTGTTAATTATTAACCAAATAATTATATTTCAAAATACTGTGTCATAAGAAATAAACTAAATACCGTGATTCAGAACAATCATAGAAAAATAGTGAAAACAACAGTAACGCCATATGACTTTGAAAACATATATTTTTTCATTTACTTAAGTTTTTATTTTGAGGTTATTTTATCACAGTAGGAAGATTGGTAGTTGAAAAAAAAGTACATCGCTAAAGTGAGTAATCAATGCACTCGTGTTAATTTAGTGCTCTCGCTTGCGCTCGGACACCAACATAATACTCTTGCATTAATAACCCATTTTGCGCTCGATGCAACAATCTACTATTATGTTACGCATAGGGCAACTGTCATTTGTGTCAACCTGGCTTTATCGATAAAAAAGTGCTTTCCATAATATCTCAACTTTAGGTAAATATGACTCTGATTATCCGATCTCCAGCTATGTCACTGTAAACAAATTTCAGTTGAATAGGCTATATGACAAGTATTTGAAAACCTTCGCGCCGCCCAGAGACACGGCGCCCCCGCAGTCCGCCTGGGAAGATTTTTGAGCTTAACGACGCCCCGCCTAGAGACACGTTGAGACACGGCGCCCCCCCAGTCCGCCTGGGAAGTTTTTTGAACTTGACGACGCCCCGCCTAGGGACACATTGAGACACGTCGCCCCCGGAGTCCGCCTGGGAAGTTTTTTGAACTTAACGACGCCCCGCCTAAGGACACGTTGAGACACGTCGCCCCCGGAGTCCGCCTGGGAAGGTTTTTGAACTTAACGACGCCCCGCCTAGGGACACGTTGAGAAACGGCGCCCCCGGAGTCCGCCTGGGAAGGTTTTTGAACTTAACGCCGCCCTGCCTAGGACACATTGAGATACGGCGCCCCCGGAGTCCGCCTGGGAAGGTTTTTGAACTTCACGCTGCCCCGCCTAGGGACACGTCGCCCTCGGAGTCCACAGCAAATTAACTGATTCTAACTGGTTATGAGCACAGTGCCTAAAATGCAAGATACCACAGCTGCAGAATTGCCTAAATGTTATTTCGTCTACAAATCGAAATACCTAAAATGCATTATGTCTCTTTAATACCTAATGCGCAAGTTTGTTTGGAAACTCTTGTAAAGGGTTGTTGTAATTCTATTTTGTCCTTATGTTCAGTTCTTAGTTTATAAAAAAAAATGTATTATTAAGGAGTGTTTAAAGGTTTTTTTTTTAAATAGAGGATTTGTTTTTATTTTTAAGAATACAGATTTTTTAAATTTATTATTATTTAAAAATTTCGTATTGACCGTTGACAGCAAACATTACAGTCACGATACATTAAGGGCAATTTGCTTCTTAGTCAATTAGCGTTTTAGGTATTATTTTATTTTATTTTTATTGGAGTATTGTTATCTTTTTAGTCAAAATGATGTGTTAGGCATTATTGCAGCAGTGGCATCTTGCATTACAGGCGCTGTACTCATAGCCGATTCTGACATGCTTGGTGTTTTGCTTTAAATACGACAATATTACGTTTCTATCATCTTCCAAACAGATGCTTCGTATAGCCAACAAGCGTAAAGAACAAGACATGGACTTCGAAGAAAAGAAGCTCCACTTATCCGTGGGTGGTGTTGTCCATGACCCAGACGCGGAGTTGGCCTATGCTGCCGCCGCAGTGGGCGCTTCGCCCCCGAGGCTGACACATGAAGTACCACATAGGGATCCGGAGGCTTTCAACAGGTATGTAGAAGGAGCTGCGATGAAAATGGTGTCATTTACGCATAGAACGAAACTTTCACTTATTCTTCTCTTGTTTTATGCAAGCTTTTCGTTTACTTTTATTAATCCCTTAATGGAATAATTATGTTTATCTTCACTTGCTTTTCATTTACTTGTTTTACCTCCATTTTAACCCCACAAGCGATTTAGTTACCACAGAAATACTAGAATTTCTTGTTCTTTGTGACTAAAACATTTGCGGCTTCAAATTAACCTAAGCGATAAACCTAAACGTCATCAATTAAATTAATTTTCACGTTCATTCGATAGGGAAAGGGGATACGGTCCAATGTACCGCGGTCGATACATGAGACCGATGGACGAGCGCGAGCGTTTCTATGAACCCGAGCGCGGCTACGAACGCGAGCGACCGATGTACGACCCGCCCGCCCATGTACGACGAGCGAGGCCCGATGCCCGATGACATGTCGTATCATAAGGCAAGTGTTTATATCAGCGCTTTGTTCATAGGTACAGGCAGTCCTCCTACTTACGGCATGTTAGGTTCTCCAAATACGCGACGTAAATTGAAACGACGTAAGTCGAGACATATTTTTTTATATGTTTGCATGTAAAACTCAAGGGTTAGGATCCACATGGACGGAAATGTCTTGTTTAGGTGGCATAGTTACATTAAAATTCACTTAAATATGTATGTAAAAACAAAAACTGTCAAAGGTGCAAAAAAAAAACTAATTTATTACGTCTTGATTGTCCGTTGGGCCTGTAAACTAAACAAAATCAGCAGCATGTCCCCGCTCGCAGACGCTGCGCCCCGCCGGCCCCACAGACATAGACCTCGCGACAAGTGAATTCTCCTATGCCGGAAATCGAATCAATTGACGTATGCTTGAGGAATAGTGTCAAAACATTGTTCAACGTAATTTGAAACAACGTAAATCGAAACGACGTAAGTCGAGGACTGCCTGTATAGGTTTTTAAGTATTTTATATGCGCGGCTACGAGGAGCGAGGCGCGATGCCCGACGACATAAGGCAAGTGTTTATATCTGAGCTCAATTTATTAATGTTTATAGGCAATTTGAAATATATTTTTCATTTCATTGTGATAATAGTCACTGTAACCTTTATTCAGAAAAGAAAGAAACGAGCCAGCAGATAGAAGAGAGAATATGTATTGTTTTTAGGAGGGTAGTCTCACAATAAATTGTACGCCGAGAGGGGAGGGACGGGCGGGAACGGGGCAGAGAGGGAAGAGGGGTAGGGAGGGTAGAGAGGATGACTGGGCCGACCCTTGGATGCGGGGCCGGGCCAGCAATATGTAGAAGAGAGAATGTTTTTTATTTTTGGGAGGATATTCTCACAATAAACTTTTTGCACAGCGGGCCAAAGTTGGACTGGGAAACTCGCGATGGGTGAGGGTAGAGACACTGGTAATTGTCTATAGTGATTCATAGATAGCTAGACAATTTAAAATTTGATTGAAAAGATAGGGCGTTTCCAATCCAGCTCGAAGGATTGTGTAGAAAGTTTTGGTGTGTAATATGAACGCGATTGATTAAAAGTTCCTCTAATACATTAGTAAATACAGAGACGCGTGCGTTCGTCTCGCGATGTGATCGTGCAGCGGGTGGAAGGTAGACGGAAGCACGCGATGGGTGAGAGGGTAGAGACTCGGGAAATTGAGTATAATTATTCATAGGTTGCTAGTCAATTTAACATTTGTACATGAAATTACAAAAAAAAAAAATTAGTTTTCAATCCAGTTCGAAGGACCGCGTAGAAAGTTTTGTTCCGGTAATACGAACACGATTGATTAAAATTTCCCGTATTTATTTACACAGAGGCGCGTGCGTTCGTCTCGCGAAGTGATTGTCCAGCGGGCAGAAGTCGAACGCAGAGAGGGGAGGGAGAGGGAAGCTCGCGAGGGGCGCGACGCGCGAGAGGGGAGAGACGGGCGGGAACGGGGCAGGGAGGGGAGAGAGGGGAGGGAGGGCAGAGGGGATGAATGGGCTGATCCCTGGATGAGAGCCGAGCCGGCCGCTAGGAGACGCCGACCGCCTTCCTCAGACGACTCGTATTCATCAACGAGGTATGTTGTTGTATAATAGCCTAGTAATTCGGGCGTGTGTAAAGATTGTACAGTTATTTTCTTAATGATATTAGAACATCTGTCAAAATATCTCAAAATCATATTTACTTATTAATGCTACGTTTTCACTTGAGCTCAGAACAGTTCTGAACGAGAAAACATTTTGTTAGCTCTGTAAGTGGAATGCTCGATATGATATATTACAAGTTTTTATCACGCTCAATTGTCAAATTACTATAGAGTTTGACAGTCGGACGCAATAAAAAACTTGATATAATGTAAATTGTGGTGCTCATGCTACTGCGACTGAGCAAGTGTTCGATCGCTGTTGCGTTGTTTCCATTGTTGACTTTTTGGCAAGCATTCGTTCATGGAGTCCAGTTAAATATCATTGAACGAGCTTGTTTGCTCTCTCTGATGTTTCTTATCATGGAGACTGCAAATATTTGCTCGTTCAGTATTGGTATGAGCACGTAGTGTAATGTGTAATGCGATACAATTCAAATTTTATTTATTTGATTGGCTTATGAATTTTATTTGAATTTAGAATACCTTAAGTATCCAAAATTTTGTATACAAAATACTCATAGTATCACTAACTGTACAATGCTTAAACGCTTATTATAAGAATGTCTATTTTATCTATCATCAGTACAGAGTTCTTTTATTGCATCACTACAAAACTGATTAGAATTCATCATCTGACAATAATGTATGCAATGCTCATTCTACAGCATATCCTATTTTGTAGTAATGCTCTAATACTCTTAAAGCTTTTGCTCGGATACTTTTAAATTGTCATTCTCAACCGAAAATGTTTTCGCGAAAAGTAAAGCCCTGGCATTTGGCAGACTGATATTATTTTATATCTCTGACGCCGCAGGTTGCCTAGTGCAAAGGACGAAAATATAACCAGTGCGTTTCAAGACGTGGCATGAAATTACCTAATATGCTTGGTTACCAGGGGACTGTTTGTGTAATTTTTACTCTCTCTATGATCTTTTGTGATGTCACATTGACACTTGGTTAAGTTTTGAAGGGGATCACGGAAAGAGTTAAGCCCATAGTGGTATAAGAATAGAGTGGGGAAGGCTCTAAAAGTGTCCGTCTAGTAGAAAGAGAAAGAAAACGAGAGATCGCTAACTATTTCTATCTCTTGTGACGCATGGCATCCAGTGGCATCACATCGAAATAATAAGATGCTTACGGTTGCCAATGCGCATGCGCGATTAGAGAGAAAAAGCTAGCGGTCTCTCATCTTCTTTCTCTTTCTATTAGAGGAATACTGCCACTTGTGGTAGAGTCTATATCTCCCCTACTCCATTCTTATATCTCTATGGTTAAGTCAGATAATCAGACCCTATATCGTTCCGATGTCAGCGGCCGCGACCGGCAACTGTCAGTCTTTCAGTATATTTATCTGTAAATTGTTATGTCGAATTTATCCTAAAACTAAATAAAGGAGATGTACAGCAGTTATTGAAGAAAGAAAAAGATGATGACGCTCTTATGTCGTTGTTTTGCTTTGGAAAAGGTTTGAGTTAAGCTATACTATTAAACGTATATTTAAACGCAATTTTATTTATAAGGAAGAAAAGATAAGAAATTACTATGGTCTTTGACAGTTAGACACGATAAAAAAGGTGATATAATGTAAACTGTGGTGCTCCTGCTACGGGGACAGGAAATATTGTATATTCGACCGAAACAAACATGCACTAATCAGTGCTAAGTGCGATCCAGGCGTTTATGCCGGTTTCGGTGGCCAACATCGGAAATATAACTTAACTTGCTCAGTTATTATTCCTTGTCTGTCCTCTGCCTGCACGATAGCCAGTAGAATGTTAGTTACTATAGTTAGTAGAGTTGTTTTTGTGTACTCCTTTTTGTTGTAGTCAGTTAGTTTTATAAGTAGATCTTGCACAATTTATAAAATCAACTTAAAAAATATGATCGAAGTTACTTTATGTTATCTCCCCATTTTTTTCTAAACTCATATCTTTTAAAAGTTTAGTTGTTCTAAATTTGTTTGAAAAGTACAACACTAATTGTATACTTATTTCCGCTTCCTCCCCTTCCCCCGCCGTTGGGTTCCGCTTTCATAACTAACGTCGTGGTGTTTTGGTGATCTCAATCAAATCTGTCGGAACTCATCTCACTTATCTTTGAATGCATGATTCATTCTCGGGGTTTCGTTTCACGCGTGTGCTGTGGTCGTGTGTCTGTATATAATGTGTGTGTGTGACTGCGTGTGTGATTGCAATTTCTTCTTATTAAAACCTGCGCTAAAATGAAACCGTGCACGTATAACGTGTACGCACTTTATTTGCGGGTCGTTTGGTTCGTTGCATGCGTCGCGTGTCTCACTCCCCTACGGCTTCCCGTTGACCCTGCAGCTCTTCAAATTCCAGTTCGCGCAGTTCGCGATCGCCCGGCGCTCGACGCAAGCGGAGGGCTTCGTCGTCATCACGACAGAGGTACGTTCGTTATAATGTAGTTACAATACTTAGATGTCGATGTTCTTCATATTTAAGAGCTCGCGTTTATTTGTGATTTTTAATCGATCCATGCTTTAGTCTTTATTGTATTACTGCAGTGATCAAACTATCGTTTGATAGTTCCATCTCATGGTGGTGCGTAAATTTTTAGTTAAAAATTGCGTGTACGTCTGTATTAAGCCATACTGGTTAGTTAATGCATTGAATGCAGTGTGCGCGCGTACAAGTCAACGATAGTTTGATCAAACTTTAATCGGTACCCTTAGCCCGAAAAAATACCGAATTCGAATAGTTGAATTCGATCTCTAAAGGCATTGTTACAATATTTTTTTGTCATGGTTAATGATAAAGGAAAATCATGCTGCGTCTCTTTCTACCTTCTAGGATTGTCGTAAGGGCATATTTTTCTTACTCTGTCAGTCTTTGAATACTAAATCTATGATCGCGATACGCGTCAAAAGTCAAGAAATTTTCTAACGGATGTAACAAGAATTCAAAATCTTCCAAACTTCTTGACATTTGACGCGTTAAAACAATTAGAAAATATAGACTTTTCCTATATTTGTACCACAGAGGACCTAAATGTGGCATCTGATTTTCTAGTGCATCGTTTCTTAACCATTTTTATGTCGCGACCCACGAAAGAGCTAAAAAGTTAAGTAAAAAGTCTTGCGACCCCGTCACTAAAAATAATTTTTTGAAACACTTGCGATAGGTACTCTGTCAATCTTTACATCCTGTATCTATGATCGAAATCGAATTCAACTATATGAATTCGATTGAGTTCGTGCTAAGGGTATGGATCGAAAATTATTTCGATAATTAATCTCGTTGTATTTGTCGTCAAATGGGCTTACTTATAGCACACCTATAGCGCTCTGTAATTCTCTATACGCTATATATTCTTAGAACGATCAAAGGATCGGATGATAAAAATTACAAGTGCGCGTTTGCTCTTTGGTGTTGCACAGATTTAGACGCTTTTGTGTTTATGTTGGAGATGCAATCTGGAAGTGAATATTTTATAATCATGCTCATTTCGGAAGTATCAGAGCCGCCTGTGTCAGGATTACTAACACATTTTAATATAGTTAAAATGTATATACTTACTAAGTATTACATAATTTAGACATTAACGCTAATTTCGTATACATAATATAGTTAAAATTAATCGTATTTAGTTGGAGTGGTTCTTCTGTTTGGTAATGCCGTCACGCACTTTACGATAGCAGTAGAATAAGAAAACATGCCACTTTGACAAACATTAAAATTGATTGATAGCACGAACCAAAGTCAAACCTTTAATTTACAATTATAATTTCAATGGTGAGCTGATAAACAGAACTCAAATTGTCAAAGACCTTGGAGTACTGTTAGATCAAAAAATAATTTTGTCTGATCACATTGACCACATATCAAACAAAGCCTTTAAAAGTTTGGGATTCGTAATGCGTGTGTGTAAACCCTTTAAAAATGTATCAACCATTAAGTCAATATATTTTGCATATGTCAGAAGCGTCTTGGATTACGCATGCTCTATTTGGTCTCCTCAATACATTATTTATAAAAGTCATATCGAGAAAATACAAAAAAATCTTTGTCAACCATCTCAATTATAGCTCTCGTAGCAATTTTAAAACTTACGAAGACGCATGTAGGGAACACGGATTGCTGCCGCTTGAGCAGAGACGCGTATTAATGGATATGTGTTTGCTGTATGATATTGTGCACAGTAAAATAGATTGTACTGCATTAGTGTCAAAAATCAAGTACCGAACACCAAAGTACCGCACTCGCAACACACCTCTTTTACATGTTCCACTACACCACAGTAATTATTCATCGAACTCGGTACTCACACGAATTGTCAGGACATACAATACATGTTTTCACAATATTGATATTTTCGCAAACACAAAAACTAAATTCAAACATGAAATAAAAAATAGACTACAGGAAAAAGGATCAAAAGGGTAAATACTTAAATTTATTTATATTTAGAAGTGTCGTATATATACGCAAGATATTATATGAATAAACGGATCAGAAAAAAGTATTCATTATACCTTATTAGTCTTACATACTTAGTATAATTATGTATATGTGTAAATATTACATTTTATTTATGATATGTATACTTACTACTTTTATAATATTTTATAATATTATAATATTACATCACGATTATATGTGGACGGATTGTTTGATGATCGCTTGTTAAGGATAGAAGTACCAATAATAAGTCACCTATTGTTAATCTAGTTAAGGAAAACCTGTCATTGGCCATATTTTTAGAAATGTACCTATTGTAAATTTTATATCGGAAAAACGCTGTTGGTTTTCTTAGAAAAATAAAATAAAATAAATAAATAAACCAATATCGAATTCGTAACGTTCGCGAGTCCGAAATGTCATTGTCAAATGTGTACTGATTTCTAGTTCTCGTTACGTACTTTGTGGCGCTGCTGTTCAAGTTTCCATACAATATTTCACATTTACATTTCGCTCTCGCAAACTATTCGAATTCGATAATGGTTCGTGCTGCGGGTACAGTTTTTAAACATTTAGATTAGTCACGTGCTGTTCTGATACACACTTTTAATTATTTATTAATTAAATTGAATTTCCAACGACAATGGTGTCGATTCTGGCATGATTCTCATAACTTAAAACTAAATTTAACATCAGTATCTTCTTATCATTCTGTACAGAGAATGACAAGGATACACTGTTGTCAAATATAATTTTAGGTTGGAGAATCATGCTAGAACCGGCACCACTAAACAACCTGTCGACTCTTTATACTACAATGATTGGGTAAGTACTAACCTTTTTTTTATTTAAGTAGGTAATTGTGCTTTTGAATGGACAAAGAAGGTAATAATGATTAATAATAATTGACTTGTCTGCACCTTTTTTTAAAATAAAAACTAAATATTGGCAGACCACAAATAAGTAAATCAACCTTCTAAAATAATGTATTTGAAAATGTATAAATCTTATTTATTCTTGCATGCGTATTGCCTTGTTAATGGCCGTTGATTTTATAGACACCGGGCGAATTCGATATAATGGTTCATCTTATCGATGTGTTGCTAGACAAAGACAAGCATATCGCACCGTCCAAGTGTCCGGTAAAACTGTAGCCGTAAATAAGAGATCCTACGCGGCCGGATGTGTTGGTCTTAGGATCTCTTGTTCTGGTATAAAAAATATATATCTTTGCGGATATCGCTTAACACGCGTTGCTACTACAACACAGTACAGTCATCTTTTGGATATGGGATGGATAACGAATTCTTTTTAGTGAGCTAATTGTTTAAAGATGATTGGTTAACATGGTGCCCATCCAATGAACAGCGTAGGATGTTGACTATTTCGTATTTTAAACGTAACACCTTTTAATACATAATTAAACTAATCACTGTTATTTTAGAACGTGGGGGAAAAGAGAAGAATGCAATCAACGTATTTAAAAACGAAACGTTTTAATAAATCTTTTGTATCAAAACGCTGTAAGTCTATCTTTGCACTGCACATAATTAGGACGACTACAGACTACTCTCTTTCAATATACACAAATGATGTAAGGAGGCACACAGAAATCATTAACCGCTACCTTTGCTTTTAATGGCTTGGAAGCCGAACCCCTTCATAAATCCTTACCTGTTCTTAACACGTTTTTATGTGATCGCAGATTAGTAGCATCAATTTGGCAGGGTAGATGCTAAACCCTTTGTCTAATATAAAACAACAATTGCCACGTCACAAAGTGACATTACATGACATTTCTTTTTGTTTTGAACGCTAATCATTAATCCAATGATTTGAGAACTTTGAATGTATTTATCTTTTTACTCCCATGTGCTAAAAAAACGAGTAATTATTTTTTTGGTTTCATTTAATATTCAAACATTTCTGTACTGTTTTCATTACACTACGCGTCCTCTAAAATATTTTAAAGGTGGTACCCAAACACCTTAGTTTCCTGGTAATCTTCTTTCACTCTTCGTCATCATTTTCATATTTGAGTATAAACACGGAAGGTACTGAGCGACATTTTCTGTCTATATGGGTTTGAATAACGGGGTTTGTTGTTAGGTTGTCGCCGTCTGTGATAGTGCGCGAGCGGCGCATGGCGACTGCGCGAGCCACCGCTATGAACCCGCCGGCGCCGAGGAGACGTGCGCCCTCCCCGGCCGCCGCCCGACAACTATCCGCCAATCCGCCCCCGCCCGCATCGCACCGTCACAAGGTACATTACCTTCTTCTTTCGTTCGTTTCCGCAGCTCGACCTCATATTTCTGAAATGACGGGCGTCAGGTGGCAGCACTGAGACGATAGGTCTACTCATCCGTCAAATAACTTGTTGTCATAGTTTATGGGTCAATTTAAATGCTCGTTTGATTAATTCACACCAAAAAGTACATAAACTTCATGTCACAGGGACACCAACAGGCGTATTTTTTTCTAATAAACACCCTCATTACTCTTTGCGGTATCCTGGTGAGCCGAGGTATTTCGATCGGTACTCCGTTGCATTCCAGCAGAACGTACTCGCGTTAAATAAACAGCTACTCAGCTGTTTCTTCTACCTCAATGCATCCTCTGCTTAGGGGGCTGTTCGAGACACCTAGGTACTGTGATTGTGACTGTGTGGCTAGTCAGGATCACATCGGGAGGGTTGCCGACCTCCCCCACCGTTTTGCGACAACTTCTTGAGCGTAAACCATGGACAATGGAGCCTGCGCAGTGGCAAGTTTACATGAAAAAACGTCTACTATGCAAGTTTATCTGTCTGTTTTGCACAAGAAGGTTGTCGCTACTTCTAGACTGCGATGGCTAGCAGCGTAACATCGGGAGAGTACGCATCCACTCGTATATATTTGTAAATTACTTGCCGTTTTCGTCTTGTACCTTTATAATGATTATTAATTAGTCTATAGTATAAAATAGTAGTGTAAAATAGTATAATAGTATAAGTATAAAAATGTCTCATTGTATATCAACAGGATGAACTCGATCCCTATGGACGCAACAAAATTTCAAGTTCCAACAGAGATAGAAAGAAATACTCGAGATCATCTTCATCTGGATCAGGTAAAGTTTCAATTTAGTACTGTAGCTTTCTCTATCGCATAATGCGTTGCGATTTTTAGGATTGTATATAAAGTAATAATATTTTAGACAGCAATTTTATTAGGCAGAAATAACGTTAATTTATTTAAATATAAGCTAATTTATGTTATTTTTGTAATACTCATGCTTAGTACTTAATTTGCTGGTTGGTAATGTTCAATTCATACTAGCGCAGAGACGAAGCGCATCGAAGCAAAATATTATTCAGGATTAAAGGCGAAGTTGCACGATTCACACTCTTCTACATTTAGTAATGATGGACATCAGTTGCCAGAGTCAACTGGGGTAGTCGTAGTCGGAACCCGTATTCATTGTTTGATATTGCTACGATGTTACTTATATCGGGTCTTAAGCAGTGTTCTGGTCAGTTTCTGATTGCGACTGACGTGTGACGACGCGTTGGTTCGCGTTGTAATCGCTTGGGTGCGCACGAATTTTATCGAATGCTTGCAAATTTGTGTCTTTTTTCCTTTTAGAAGGCATATATGGCGCATGTGCGTTGTGGGAGCTTCGATGTGCTTCGATTCTGCGCTGGTATGAACTGACTTTTAGTGTAAGAAACATAATTATTCTCGTTTATATTAACTATCTTTACTTGCTCGGTCTTTCCCGCATGACGTGTGAAGGCAGTTAATGTTTGTTTCTTTACAGATTCTTCGTCGTCGTCCAGCGAGTCTGAGAGCGAGTCTCACTCGTCGTCGTCGTCGGGCAGCTCGGGGGCGCGGCGGGCGAGACACGCGCGGCTATTGAACGCCGCGGCTAGACCTAGGTGAGACTGTTTTCTTTACGACTGCCTATAGCCATCCGCGCCAGTCTGAGAGCAAGTTTCACTCGTCGTCGTCGAGCAGCTCGGGGGCGCGGCGGACGAGACACGCGCGGCTAGACCAAGGTGATACTGTTTTTTACACCACTGCCTATAGCCATCCGCGCGAGGCTGAGAGCGAGTCTCACTAATCGGCGTCGTCGGGCAGCTCGGGGGCGCGGCGGGCGACACACGCGCGGTAATTGAACGCCGCGGCGAGACTTAGGTGACACTGTCTTCTATACAACTGCTTATAGCCATCCACGCGAGTTTGAGAGTGAGTCACAGTCGTCGTCGGGCAGCTCGGGGGCGCGGCGTGCGAGACATGCGCGGCTATTGAACGCCGCGGCTAAGAACTAGGTGAGACTGTTTTCTATACGACTGGCTATAGCCATCCGCGCGACTCTGAGAGCGAGTCTCACTCGTCGTCGTCGAGCAGCTCGGGTGCGCGGCGGGCGAGTCACGCGCGGCTATTAAACGCCGCGGCGAGACTTAGGTAAGACTGTCTTCTATACAACTGCCTATAGCCATCCACGCGAGTCTGAGAGTGCGTCTCACTCGTCGTCGGGCAGCTCGGGGGCGCGGCGTGCGAGACACGCGCAGCTATTGGACGCCGCGGCTAGACCTAGGTCTATATTGTATGGAGACTATATTGTATATAGTGGCCCTCCCTCGCTTCGCTTCGGTGTAGAGCTGTAGTGTAGGTAGACTATTGTTTTTGTTCCCAGGCTTTTATTATACACAATTAATTTCTTTGTATAATTATAAACCTTCCATGAAAACTTATTTAACTGATAGGGATAATTTTGTTGCGTATTTTAGGACCCGTTTTACCGAATTCTCCAATTTATTGGTTGAACGCGCAGATCCCCTCAGGAACTACTGGTCCGATTTGAAAAAATCTTTTTGTATATAATAATATGACACCACGCTACGACCAGTAGGAGTGGATCATCGATGAAAAATGTTGCTAAAACGGGTAAAAATATTCCATTTGTGAGCTTCCGTTGCGTGCGCTGCGTAAATGACTAAGGTTACACAAAAATCATGTACTGCGGAATTGTTCCCCTTTCTAAGAATGTTTTTTCTAGGAAAAAACTATGTTGGAGTCTAAACGTGAAAGAATTTTTCAAATCGGGAGTCTATTCTATACAAACAAACAATCAAATAGTTCCTCTTTATAATATTAGTATAGATGTTGAATTTTCGAGAAAATCCTATGTTTTTTGCGAAAACGTGAATAATTAGACATTGGCGATGACATTTCTCTATATTACTGAAAAAAATACGAAAACGCGAGTAGCCGCAGTAAAATTGCGAAAAGAATCGTTGGCTTATTATTTATTAAAAATACTTTTGGTTTTTGGGTTCTTGGGTTCCCACTAGGTGAGGTTAGTGTTGTGACGATGCACTATGTGGAGGTGCCTAAGAGAGCTTGGCCATAAATACATTTTGTAAAAATCGGCGCAGGTACTTGTATTATACCTCAAACTATAGCTAAGAAGTTGATCTACTATATTATGTATAAATTATGTATGTAACTAGTACTTTTTTATAGTAAAGAGCATCTAAATACGATGATTGAAAAATTATCACGAAAACATCATAATTTGTATTTTTTTCAGGATGATTTTCTAGTAAGCTAGCAATGAAAATTATACAAGTATTATACCATTTTAGAAAGCTTATAATATATACTTTTTTTTGGTATACACAAATATGCTATATATTTATAAATATATTTACTAGAAATATTTATCTCATGACATCATTTTTGCGTATCTGAAACTTTCAATTAGAGTTTTGACAGTTGCCGAAATTTGCCGAAGGTCTGTAAATGATGTTATTTGATAGGAAATTTAATATTTTTATACAGGAAGAAAAAAAAAGTTGCAATTTCATTGCACAACATAATGCTATCTATCATAATATGAAATAGTAATAATTTCTTAAAAATACGTGGGCGAATCTATTTGTTTTATTAGTTGATATAGGTTACACTTGTGACATATTATTAATTGCGGTTTATGTTTTGATAATGTATCGAGTATTTCTCACCATTTTTAGTTCGCCTACAAAATAAATTATCAATAAAACACATAGGAAACCGAGTAACCACATAATGATAAATAGTTTTTATTCCCATACTTTGCATACGTTTCAAATCAGTTATTTAATATAAAATAGAGCATCTGCATACTGAATAATGACATACTGTTTTTCGTTCGTTTTTGTCGTTACTAAAAGTGTATCTAACCACCTACTCTCTCGCAATGAGTGAATTCCAATGTACCAGACGCGACCTATGTCTTGTTTTGATTGAAAGTGACGGGAATTATGTTGTTGCTTTAACAAGTTATATACGGAATAATTTTATCAACTTTTCTGAGGCAAATATCGCTAAAATTGTCGCGAGTGTACAAAAAAATCTTATTACAAACTTTCGTCAACGCTACACTAAATCTGGCAGAAATAAAGAATTTTTTTTAAATCAGAATAGCCTGTGGTTGAATGCCACATTCACAGTAAATCTGGAAGATCCTACTTGTGAATCTGAACCTTCGACATCGACGGGGAAGCGAGGACGCCCTTCTAAAACCTACGAAGACAGTTCCGATAGAACACAAAGACGAAAAAACAAGGAGTTGCTTGAAACATGTGGCCTTGATTTTATACTGAATTCATATCTTCAAGGATTGAGATCTCAAGGGGAAACGGAAGAAGCATTCATTGTCGAAATTTTACGAGTATTACCCATAGATAAAAAAAGTGAAATACGTCAAAATCTTTTAAATGAACCGGCACATTTAACAGCGTACTCTAAAGATGAAGCTCTCAGTATTTTTATAGAGTTGGACCTTAACATGGCACAGTATGAAAACATGAGAAATTGCTTAATTGCGAAGAACTGCGTATTATTTCCGTCATATAAATCAATTCAGGAAGCTAAAGGAATGTGCTACCCACCAAGATCAAGCATAGAAATTAATAATATTACAGCAAAAATAAAACTGCAAGATCTGCTGGATCACACTATTGCAAGAATTTTGAAAATCAATGGTGTATACAAAGCTGGCAAAAAACATTTAATGCTGTATTCGAAATGGGGCTGTGATGGCTCAAGCGGACAAAGTGAATACAAGCAAGTCTTAACTGAAGAGGATGAGTTAATTTCTGACACAAATTTATTTATATCTTCATTAGTACCTCTGAAACTTGTTGATATTAATACAAATGAAACTTTGTGGGAAAACCCTGTTCCATCATCAGTAAGATTTTGTAGGCCCATTTTAATAGAATTTTCAAAAGAGACACCAGAGAAAACTACAAGTGTAGTTAATGAAATTATAGCTCAAAGAAACGCTCTCACAACAAGCTTAATCAATAAAAATGGTGAAAGTATTGAAATCAAACACACATTATTTTTGACAATGGTTGACGGGAAAGTGGCTCAAGTTTTGTCAGAAACTTCATCAGGTGCTGTATGTACTATTTGTGGTGCAAGACCTACAGAGATGAACAATTTAGAAAAAGTACAAAATAAACCTGTTGACGAAAATTCTTATCAATATGGGCTTTCGACTTTACATTGCTGGATTAGATTCATGGAACTAATTTTACATATATCTTATAATGTAGGCTTTGAAAAATGGTCTGCTACAACGTCAGAAAATAAAGATTTGAAAAAACAAAAGAAGACATATGTACAAAGAAGGTTCAGAGAAGAACTTGGTTTAAATATAGATAAACCTAAGCAAGGTTCTGGTAACAGTAATGACGGTAATATAGCTAGACGATTTTTTCAAAATTATCAGTGCACTGCAGAAATTACCGGTGTGGATGAGGAATTGATAAAACGATTTTATGTTTTACTTCAAGTTATGTCTATCGGAAAAGTAATTAATGCTACGAAATTTGGACAGTATGCTTTCGATACAGCACAACGATATGTTAGTAAATATATGTGGTATTATATGCCATCATCTGTCCATAAAGTCCTAATTCATGAGGAAAGTGTAATTCGGTATTATTCAGTGTTACCTCTTGGACAGCTCTCCGAAGATGCCCAGGAATCAAGGAACAAAGACTATAAACGATTCAGACTTCATCATGCTAGAAAATGCTCTAGAGTAGCTACAAATGAAGACGTTTTACATACATTTTTGTACACTTCAGACCCTTACATAACAAGTTTAAGAAAACCTTCCAATAAAAAGTCTATGGAACTTATAGATGAAGCTGTAGAGCTAGTAGAATAATATAATTCTATGTTATTTTCTTTTTCTTATTATATTTAATTAATAAGAGTAATTTTATGTGTTTATTTTGTATTAATAATAACATTTAGGTCACATTGTTTAAAATTAGTCGTAAATTTATGATAATTTTTCAATATTTCATGTTTTGTATTTTTTTACAATTATTAAATATATTTTTATATGCATAGACTGTATATTATTTTAAAGTACATTTATCTCAGATTACCTAAAAAAAAATCAGCTGTATATCTATAAAAACATGGAAGTTATAGATTTATGACCCGAAACCGACTCGATCTCCACATAGTGCGATGCGAGAGCCAAGCGAGCGTAGCGACCGACGAAGCGCCAGAAAAAATAATATTGTAATAGTAAGATTGAGCAATGCCATCTCCATTGTCTAAATTATCCGCGGGCATCGGATGGTTGAATGATGCTGGAACAAATCATTTGCAATGTCGGTTCATTTGCAAGCTTTAATGCCGCCAATATTTGCCGGTGCTTGATGCTCAAATTATCTATAATATAAAAATGCATCGCTGAATGTGTTGCTAAGCGCAAATCTCGAGATCAGCTGAACCGATTTCCATAATTCTTTTTTTAGAATATTCCTTGAAGTACGAGGATGGTTCTTACGCAGAGAAAAATTATAAAAAATGCCTGAAAATGTCAACACAGCAAAAACAACACTTTTCTATACTCCCATACAAACGATTCGTAATAATACTTAAAGTCAATTTGAATTTTAACACCATACTATAAATTTTAAATGTTAGTGGAGAGATTCTGGGAAGGCAAAACAATCGAGCGACGTGATGTCAATAGAAATTTGGAAAAGGCAAATATATCATTTTTTTTATAATTACTTATATGATGAGTTATTTAAATCTACTCTACAGCTCTACACCGAAGCGAAGCAATGGCGGGCCACTAGTAAAGTAATATAATTATGTTATATCCAATCTGTTGCATTTGCATCTCTAAAGATCCGAGCGATATATATTTACGGTAATTTTCAAGAAATTTATAAAAATATGAAATTTCAAATAGTATTTTTTGTAGTTGAAATAAATGCAAAGAATGTTATTTATCAAATATTAGCAAGAATTTGTAGTGTCATAAATTGTTTCAGGTTAAATGCAAAATCGACTGCTGGTTTAGCGGTCGCAGTATCTACAGTAACTAGTACGAAAGATATGACAAATGATAAAGGTAAACAGATATTTGTCTTTGTTTTAATATAATTATCTAGAGTAGTGGACTTGATTTTCTATAACGTATATTGGAGGGATATATAGCCTTGAATCTAAAGAGATATACATAAAATTAACTAAATTGTTCTTACAAATGTGGTGGAAAAGGAAAATATCGAAAAACAAAAGAGTTATAACGCAAAGGGCCATGACTTAATCGTCATTGCCAATATGTGCGAGGGAGATAGCAAGCTGTTTTTGAAATAGTAAATCCAGCTTATGTTTCTTTGATGTTTTTGATTTTGCGATAACAATAGAAGCTTACGGTTCGAAGAGTGTGTCGTGGATAGTCTTAATATTGTTGTATAGACATAAATATAATTAGAATTAGAGATTAAGTACAGACAGCCACGCATCAAGCTACCACAAGCTGCCAAATTTTGTCAATGATAGGGTATTTGACACTAAAAATAAGAAGCCAATTGTTGGCATCTGTATTTAGAATAAATATTGGCAGGTGTTTGTTCTACTTTTGCAGAAAAAATATTCATAATTTTTTGAAAAAAACCACTAAAAATAAAATAACCTTTCTATCTTTTGTCACGTGACCGAAAATGACTGGGATTGGCGGAGCCTAAAATGACGTCGCTCACATGTAAACGTCCGATCAATGACATTAGTTGTGCGGTTTGACGTTTGAATGACAGTCGTGTGACGTCACACATAGGTAAACTCGCCATATTACCCAGGGAAACGTTTCAGCGACATATTTGAAAGCATAATTTTTGATTTCGTTTTTTACTGAAATACACAAAAGGATGATAAATAACCAGTTTTTATGGAGTCCGTACTCCCACTAGTCCCTAATAAGTAACGTAGGTCGTTTTCAAAAACTTAAATAAAGCTCAAAGGTTGAAAAAATATACAGGTTTGGATAACTTGATCTGTGGCTGTTGAGCTTATATTCTTACGACCTCCGTGGCCGAGTGGTTTGTACGCCTGGTTTCATGGTGTCGCCGACTCGAGAGGTCCCGGGTTCAAATCCCGGTGGGGGCAGGTTTTTGTGTGATGAATACGAGCATTTGTACTCCAGTCAATGGATGTTTAATATGTATTCCTATAGAAATATATATGTACAGTATTCTATCCGTTACCCTAATATCCCATAACACAAGCCTTATAGTGCTTACTTTGGGGCTAGGCTAATTGGTGTGAGGGTTGGAAACCTTTATTTTATTTAAGGGCCATCAACACAGCTATATTAATACAAACAGACGTACACATATGCTTAAATGTTAGGATATAATAACTGTAATTAAAGAGGGCGGCCTAATCATGTCCTAAACAGTTGCTTTTTTACAACATCTATGTACACAGAATAATCCTCTGAATTCAAAACCACAACAGTCTTCTCAGTCATGCTCTATAAAATATTATTTAAAAGGGGAGAACACTACCAAATATGGTCGTAAGTCCAGAGAACCACTCGCGTACTAGACAAACTAATTTTATTAACAATAATATTAAACCGTTGTAATTATTGGAATAATATTGATTAATTAAAATATTTGTCTATGGTGTTGTTTATAGAATCGAGTGCGAAGAAACGTGGAGCCACATCGCCAGTAAACGCACCACCCGCCAAGAAATCTGTCTCGAGACGCGAAGAACTCCTCAAACAACTCAAAGCGGTTGAGGACGCCATCGCTAGGAAGCGTTCCAAAATATAACATTATTTCAAATTAGGAACTATTTTGTGTGTAGCCAAGCCGGCAGTAGAACTATTTACTGTTTGTGAGGGCCTTACGGCTGCATTGCCGAATTTACAAGGCCTATATATATATACACATTTCGACTTTCCGATAATCAGAACGGAAGCTTATCCCTTTAGCAGAACTGATGCCGTACAAATAAGCATTTAAGTTAAAAAAAAACTTATCACATTGACTCTGATCTGACCCTTGAATGGATTATCAGTAAAACGTCGCTTTAGTATTAATTAATTTTAGTTTAACATCTATGTTGTGTATATTATGATGTTAATGTGTTGAAATATCAACAATATCATCGTGGGTAGTTTGTCAATGTTTGTTTTAATGGTTGTTATTACACCCATGAATTGGATATTATCTGAGAAAAGACTAAGTTTGATATTTACAATTTGTTTGTTCATCCAAGTAAACCTAGATAGTAGGTTTATATATGAATGGACAATTTAGTTGTAGGACATGGTGAAGAGCAAAGGATTAAAAAAAATACTTTTGTAGAAATATGTAGTTTTATTGGTCTATTTTTAAAAATAAGTTGGCTAACCTATATTTTCTAGAAGATACATTGCGAACTAACACTTTGTTAAAATTCTTCTTCAGGAGAGTATTTAATGCATTATAAGCAACAAACCCTACACCACAACTTCGTGATTCAGAGAAACTGTAAGCTGCTTGTGGTAAAAATCCTAGTATTTGTCTTGAACAAGAATGTCGACAGGACTTTATATCTGAAGGAAGCCATAACTCTCTCATAGCCTTCACATATTCTGATGGTTCACTTTTGGATGATATCTTCTTTGGCGACTTATTAACCTGTGTGTGAAAAAAATCTTATGAAAACATTTCAAAAGAAAAACATAAAAACTACTACTAAATCGTACATCCTACTTAATATTATAAATGCGAAAGTTGTAAGTTTATATGTCGCAAAAACGGCTGAACGGATTGGATGAAATTTTACACGTGATCATCTTATAACCTGAAGAGAGATAGGATACTTTTTCTCTCGAAAGTGTTAGGTTCCTGAGGAAGTTTCAAAAAAACTAAAGGTAACGCAGACGACGGCGCTTCCTATCCTACTAATATTATAAATGTGAGAGTTTGTTTGTTTGTTAGTACTACTAATATTATAAATGTGAAGCTTTATGACTTGAATTGAGACAGAATAATTTTATACCAGAAATAAGTTAAGATTCCCGTTTGATTTTCAAAAAGCTAAAGTTAACGCGCATGAAGTTGCGGGCGGCCGCTAGTATTATTTATTATAAATGAGCAAGTATGTATATTTGTTACACAGTTATGCAAAACTGCTCACGGCTGAACAACTGTGGATGAAATTTGCTACATTTATAGTTTATGACTTGTATTGAGACATACAAAACTTTTTATCCCAGAAAATTGTTATGATTCCTGTGAGAATCTCAAAAACCTAACTGTATTAGGAAGTTAATGAACTATTTTTGGTTCCAAATTCAATTCAAGTTTTAATATCTGATGTGAAGATTTTAATCTGATCAATCAAATGTATCAGAATGATATCAGTGATAAGAATTATAAAATATCTTGTTTCCAACTAAATATTTAAAAGTAAATATTATATAGGTACCTGTGTTCCTGCTTTCTTCAATTTATTTCTTTTTCTTCTTAATTGCTTAAGTTTCTTCATATGTTCGGTTCTTTTTTGCTTTCGTATTTTTTCATTTGGATCCTCGCATTGCTGCTCTTGGGGCAATTCTAAAAGATCATTCTTTTCAGGTAAACAAATTATTGCATTCTTGTTAAGTTTTCCCTTTTTAACCATTTTTAAAGAAACTTGCACTAGACATGCCACTGCATTTTCAATCTCCGGTAGTTCTATTTTATTAATAATACAGTCCTGAAAAGTATAAAAATAGGGTTGCTACAAAAAATTATAAAAATGGGGATTCAAAATTTATGTACAGTAGTTGTATTGAAGGAGCAGAGTTAAAGCAACCTTTACTACAGTGCCAGCACACTTTGTGTGACTGTCATGACAGTTTTTTAAACATTTATTTTACTCCTTACTTGCAATCTTTGTAAAAGTCGTCGATCTCTTAGTACAAAGAAGTTATCAGTAGAACTGTTACTCCAATCTCTCAGGAGTATTTTCCATGGGCAAATGAAAGGAGTAACAATACCCATCTTTATATAGTTGACTCTTTTACTTGGTGGTAATCTAAAATACTTTTCTCTAAGTTCAGTTTCTATTCTTATTTCTTCTTCTTTTCCAGAATTAGAATCAGGTGGTAAGTAGCAGTCTCCCATTTCAAAGGCCAAATTTTCACTTTCTCGTAACCCACCTGAACGGGCACCGAACATAATCAAAGTCTGCCAGAATTGGAGTCCATATCCAGGTGGAATTATTATATCCCAACCGCTACCATACCCTGGGAATCAATGAGATGTTACTATTTATTTAAAACAATGTTTTCTGCATATTTTTTTCAATAGATACTGATAGCTTTTAAAGATACTTTTATTTGGTGTGATTTTATCTAAACTCACCTATTTTCTTGGAAGAGTCCTGGGATCCAGGCCTTTGTATAAGAACAATTGGAATGCTTTGTAAAGCTGGGTCTTCTATATTCACTGCACCTGGTACTAGTTGTGTTTTAGTTATATGTTCTATAAATTGGGTGTTAGATAATTTCTCTTTTTTTATATTATCATGAGTATAGCTATCCCACAATGGTGAAGCAGACAATGTTGGTGGAATATTTAAAAAAGGTTCAATGTCTAATTGGATATTTTCATTTAATGCTTTAGTGCGACGGTTGGGTCTACATAAACGTGGGTCTCTTACAACTAAACCAATCACAATCTTGGAAGGCAAGTGGGATGGTGATGTTGCTCCCTTTATTTTTTGCCAATAATCACACTTTTCTTTTAAATATAAAGTGGACCTGTTAAGGTTTTGAATCCATTTATTTTCCTTAATTTTTTCAATATCATCTATACATTTTATACTATGTGCTAACACTATGTGACTTTTAGGCCCTGTTAAACGAAACCTATTAAAAGTTCCAGGCAAAAATTTCACTTTTATATTTTCAGAATAATTATTTGTTAACTTTCTTTTTTTCTCTACAGGGGTGTGAGAAATGTTATCTAACATATCTGTTAGCAATGATTCCACTTGCTTTGTTTGTGATGGATGTACAAACAGCCATAGGGATTTCTCTCGTTCATTTTTCTCCCATAAAAAGGATATTTTTCCTATATAACCAAAGGGGTACATATTCTTTTCATATAAATGGATTGATCCTTCTCTTTTACCATCTATGTAAGCTTTGGCACATATGCCTAAACCACAATAGTTACTAGTAATTAAAGCAAAAATGTCTTTTATTGTTATTTCTGGTCCTATTATCTGTACAGCTGTATGATAAGATATATCTTGCAGAAGGCAGTGAGCTGAACTAGCTCTATAGCAGGCTCTAAATGCTTTGTCACAGGGAGCGTAAGCAATTCGATGACCCCACTTTTCAATCATGTGAAATCTTTTAGCATGCCAAATATGTGTCTCTAACCAAAAATTCTTCTTTTGCCTCCTGTTATATTCTTCGAGCAAGTTACCCGGACGTCTTCTATATTTTCTGGATGGTCGTTTTTGTTTTGGAGGTAAGCCGCTCTTTTTTAATTGCTCCAAATGCCCTGTTCTAAGCTTGTTGGGCAATCTTTTAGCGTTGTGGCTCATGACCCGGCGACGCATGTGTACTGGTAAGCTTTGAAATATTAATTTCGTTTTACTTGGCCGGAGTATACTCTCGGTCATTGCGGCTATTTCCACACTTCTGGAGGCTGCAAACTTTAAACTATTTGCAGAATACGGTAGGCGCTCCATGTCACTTACAACAGTGTTTGATTCGGAAGATTCCATTTTAAAGGATATAATTATTATAAGATAGCAGAACTCAAAAGTATAGTTCAGGAAGATATAATATTCTCAATAAAACACGAATTTTAAAATTAGCACGTGAAACTTAACCTTATTTTATTTGTTATTGTTGTCACTGTCACTGGTCGCAGGTCCGCTGTTTATCCGTGACATATGCTTTCCGTTTCAGTCACAATTTTATAGTCCGTTGCAAGACTGCGATTCCAGTGTCCAGACAGCCATAGGTCAAGTTACTCAAATAATGGTGTCGATTCTGGCATGATTCTCTAAACCTAAACTTAAATTTGACAACAGTGTATCCTTGTCATTCTCTATACAGAATGAAAAGGAGAGACTGTTGTTAAATTTAGTTTTAAGTTTAGAGAATCACGCCAGAATCGGCACCAATATGTACAGTTTGTCTATAAAGTCGTAACATAAATGTTTGAGGAACTAACATTATTCATGTGTCTGGCAACACCAAACTTATGTACACCAGCTGTCATCGAGTTTCATTTCAGTTGTGGAACAGTTTTCCTTTTGTATTTTTTATTGTTTGTATTAAACTGTAATAAATTAAGACGAAACTACGCAGAAAGGTATAAAAATGAGTAATGTAAAGCGGAGTGGCACGCGGGAAGTGATTTTTAAAGTTTTCCAGCTATGTTTCGAAGACTACCAAGCTGGACGAATTTTGGGGGATCCAAATCTCACGTTTATGGGCGAACAGCATCTATGACGGGTATGTAATCGTGTAACTATTTGTTTGTAATCTGCTTGAAGTTACAAATTTACTCAATTTACGATTTTGAGACCAAAAAAGGCATTGTTTACATTGCACATTTTTAGGTTAGATTGACATTTTAAATAGGTAATATTGTAGTACGACCATTTCTTTTGATACGTTCAACTCGGTCAGGTTTTCTACCAATTTTGAATTAACTGCTTCATGTCAATAAGTTATTGATTCTATTCCGTTACATATTTTTTTATTTTTTTTCAGGAAAATCAGAGAGTCGGATAGTCAACGACGGTTTTAAGAATGATGGAAAGTTTGAAACTCCTGGGAAAACAGGCAAGGCCGACCAAAGAAAGAAATGGTCACATAAAGAACCATGGCCAGATGCTTTTAGTGAAGATACCTATCACTAATTTTACTAACTGCACATTTACAAATTGTTTCTCTAAATAAACTTTTTATATACTATAAAATGATTTTTAGTATTATTTTCTTAACAAGTGTGTTAAAAAACGTTGTATGATGTTGATACTTGTGTGTATTGATGATAATCACCAACATTACACACTTTTACACTATAAAGTACTATTTTATATATAATAATTTTATTCTGATTCAATTAAATATGCTTGGCTAAACTTTTTATAAGCAGAGGTACCTACTATATATAAAACAGAAACAAAAAACGACTGTATTGTGTCTTATTAATTACCTATTTACTTGAATGAACTGCTAGTATCAAAATCATTTTGGTCAGACTGTATAGGGTTGCTACATGCATACTAGTGGCGCCATCATTTAATGTCACGACTTTATAGACAAACTTGTAATGAGTACAGATATTTTTGATATCGATTTTTCATTTTACCGAAAACTATTTCACGTTTTTTAATGGCTGGCAAGCTGCCTCGTGGTAGAACTGTACTTCCAGGCCTCAAGAAGTGATACTTGATTTTTTTTTGTAGAAAAGGTCTCTTTTAAATGTATTTTTTTCCTGGCCACAAATGGTCACAACACTAACCTAACCTAACCTAGTGTGAAATGGGTCAGGCCGCCATTTTTTGCTGATATGGCGCAGAAGTATTGTGTTGGTGGCGTAGAAACTTCTACGCGTCGGTGACGTTGAGTAGCGTATAATAGTGACGAATAAATGTTAAGGTTGGCATACACATGCCAAAATATTAAGATTAAATTATGTTGTATAACATAATTGTACCAATTATGGACACTTTAAGGATGAAAAGGTGGGTTTTTGCAGGATTATTCGTAATATATCAGGATTTTGTTTAAACATCAATGTTGAGCTTAATGTCCGTCTTTTTTCCTTTATGCTTATGCCGAAAAAGTTAGAAATAACCGCATAAAAATGAGAGATATCATTAAAATATAAACACGGTTTTTTAAGCTAGTAATGGACAAGGAAAATCATTTAATGGACATCCAGTGATGAACATGCACCAAATATGGAAATCTAATAATGAACACAATTTAATAATGGACCCCCACTAATGGACCAGCTCGTTGAATTTAGAATAAGAAGTACTTCCCTATATCTAAGTAAATAAAAACATCAACAATTTTATAATCAATTAGACATTTATTATATTTTTATTTTTTAAAGCATTTATTTGCTAGATTATAAATCTAAAGAAAATTTTTACTAAAAAAAATTCCACGCGGTCCAGGCAGCAGACGGGACTCGAAACTGCACCCTCCGCTATCCGGGCAGATGCACTGACCATTATGTTACCGTGATCTATGCCTTGCAGCCTAAGAAATACAAGCTGAAATTACACGAATGGGTTTAGTTAGTATACATACATACACTCTCGAAAAACATTACCCTCCTTTCTTCGGCAGTCAGGTAAAAAGTTTGTTTAATAAAAACGAGTGGATACCTACCTTTATTTGGTGGCGTACAGGAGGTGACGAATATCTACGCTACCGTTGGCGTTGAAGTACCAAAATGGTGGCGTATTTCTACTTCTACGCTATCGTTGCGTTGAGAAAACCACATATCTCTGTAAATAAAGTATGATTTGAGTTGCATTATAGCTCCAAACATGGCTTTCACTTCTACTAACATGATGCACTATTTGTTTTTCGTGTAACAATCAAACTTACTTTTTTATGCACAAAAATCTTACCTTGAAAAAATTGTGTACACAAACTACACCAGACGTTCACATGTCATGTCAAAAATATAGCCGCTCATCAAGCCGCTGTCCACAGATTACAGAAACTCAGCGTTGCCACTTCCCGATTTGAACTTCACCGATTCCTAAAGTTTAATAGAACATGGAAAATAGGTGGCGTTGACAAAAGTGGCGTATAAGTACAGTTTTTGACGAAAACTTATTTGAAATCATTTTCAAGGAAATTCTTAGGATAAACGCACGGAAAATTAAAAGCACGGATAGCTATTAATATAAGTATTCTTATAGTATCAGCCATGTCTCAAAAACTGACATACTTTTTGCTACTACGATAGTTAAAGTGCACCTCTACCTCGGCGGATAGAAGTTTTTATGTAATTTTACTACCTTTTTTCAGATTTCATTCGAAATATATTTTTTGTTTATTATCTGACCTGAAATAATCATGATGTCCACTTGAGCCACTTTGTTGCTTAATCCAAAGCCGTCATCGAAAATCCGATATCTATAATACTTTTCAAAATACTGACCGCGGAGAAAACAGTTTTCAAAATCAGAAAAAAATGGCGGCCTGACCCAAATATTACTACTTGGGTCCTGGAAGTACAGTTTAGCCCGCCTCGCCTCTCCGCGCCTATGCGCGTTTAAATTGCACTCTAGGGGTAGGGCCATAGAGAAAGGTAAATAGGGCAGATAAGACTACGTGGAGTCGGGGTAAACTGAGTCATTTTAAATACCTTTTTATACTCTAACAAGACATCATGAAATCGTATTTTCAATGTACATTGATTTTTTGAAGTAAAAATTGATGTTTCCGTTTTTTGCAAACTGAAACTTACGATGAAACACAAATATGGGTAACAAAACTTCGATGTAACATTATTTCGATAAAATGTATAAAATATGAAAAGAAATAACGATGAACTGTGTTTGTACACAGTGGTGGATTTACCGTAAGGCCCGATAGGCCTGCCTAGGGCGGCCAGATTTAGAAGCGGCCTGAATCAACACCCTTATATAACAAAATTAAGCGATAAAATAAATAAAAAATCATTATTCCGAAGACGTATTTTGCAAAGGACGCGAAACGTCAATAAATAAATAAAAAATGTGTGCGTGTACTAGTGTACACACGTAAGAAGTGAAACTTCTTTATGGCCTTATTTTTCGAAAAATGATCTACATGCAACTTTCCAGAAATTGGTTAAATAAAGTTAAATTCGATAAAGTTTAAACAAAAGGATTTTATTATCATAGACATGAATACAAATTACTGCCTATGAAACTGTTATGATTACACGGCTCAGTAATCTAAGGCACATGTTCCACCTCCGACGATGAACGATAAGCGAGTAGAAACTAGAAACGAATTGGCAGTCCTGAGTTAAAATGCACGCGCACGGCTTTTGACAGCCAAGCCAGCTTAACCGAGCGAGTATAGCTGAGCGAGTTCTCGCCGGCGACAGTGTGATCATTCAGCTATCAACTATTAATATAAAAAAAAATGTGTGCGTGTACTAGTGTACACACGTAAGAAGTGAAACTTCTTTATGGCCTTATTTTTTTCGAAAAATGATCTACATGCAACTTTCCAGAAATATATATATAGGCGTGCGCTAAGATTTTTCAAAAACTCACCCACTAAAGGGGTTACCTTACCTTACCTTACATTACATTACCTTACCTTACCTTACCTTACCTTAGTTAATTGTTAATCACGATTTAATACTAGTGAATCAAGGCAATGAACAAACATATTGTACAACAGCGAAAAACGCTGTTAGATCATCTGTAATTGATTTAACCATGATTACTGATAACAATAACTTTATAGCTATAGATGATTGGAAAGTTAATAATGAAATAATAACTACGTCAGATCATAAAGGCATTACTTTTAATATTAATATAGGTAGAACAAATTTAACAAGAAACTTAAAAACCTCCACTTGGAAATACAACACTAATAGCTTGAATATTTGGAATGAGAATAGGAAAAATGAATTTAAATCTATATTATCTACTTATATTAATGACAATGAAATCAACGACATATTTATTATACATGAATGAATTACAACTTGAAGATTATCTTTCTAATTTTACAA